TATCAGTATGGGCATTTAAAAAAAATATTGGCTTTTTCCATACTTAAAAATGAGGAGTTTTGACTAGATGATAGCTCTAAGTTCTCTTTCAGCTCTAACATTCTTTGGGTCTTATTTTCTATTTTTTTGTATGGGTTTATTTCAGGGAACCACTATAATACCAATGTTATCTTCGGCTCTGTATGATGATGAAGAGTTTCCCAATTTGGACAAGTATGACCCAGGTCACTTCCTGGATGAAAGTGGCAACTTTAAGAAGAGCGACTATTTCATGCCTTTTTCAGCAGGTAAGATGTTTATCTAAATATGCGCGTCAAAGATGAATTATTAACTCAGAGGACCTGTGTTTCAATCCAGTTTTGCCACTTATCCAGTTTGTCACCTATGTGACATTGGTCAAATTATTTCATTTCTCTGGGCCTCAGTTACTTTATATGCGAAAAGATTGTGCTGGACTAGGTGGCCATTATGGTCCTTCCAAGTTCTAAAACCAGGGAATAGGGTGGAGACATAGTTCATCATTCTTCTAATCTCCTTGAGCCATGGTTCATCAGCTAAACTCAATCAATTGGGTTTCAGGCTTTTTGTCTGAGCTTATTCCAAAAAAGAGGCAAGAACTGAGATAGTGACTATTCTCTTCTGCATCCAGACCCACAACCAAAGCCCCTTTGATATTAAAACGTATCCTCCCAGGCACTCTCAACCAGGAGCTACTTCTCAGATACAGTCTTCTAGGCGTTTATGTTAATATGGTACAATCTTGTATCTAATCAAGCCAAGGAAGGGGATTGGGTTATCTTAAAGGTCCATTACTCAGGTGCCATTATGGCTAAGGTCACCAAAGGTCTAATCTTAGAGTTTGCTATTTTATAGAAATGTGACTACTGACTAGGTCACATAAGTATTAAACCTCTTTTCCTAGTTATGTAGATTTTAATGGGGATCTATTGGTACAGAATTATAGCTGGTAGTCTGTCTTGTCTTTTTACCTTCAATTTTTGGGGTAACCCATTGGTTATCAGATAACAGAGGTGATAGCCAAGTCTAGGTCTGGCAGACATGAATTTTGGCAATGTCCCTGACATTGTGGTCTCCAATGCCATGCTCAATTCATTCTAATTCTTGGGCTATAGGTAGGAAAGAATAGTTAAGACAAGTGGCTGGATGGTCATGAAGTTGCAGGATAGACTCCAGAGTGGTTTTCTGTTCAAAATGGTGACAGGAGGTTCCCAAAGGGCACTTTGATCATTCTTCTGTCAACTTTCACCATTGTAATTACTCTGGGTAGCCATAAACTTGGTTTTTGAGATTATAAATGAGTGATTATTTTCTCCCTAAGGCAATGACTACTTTCCTCTAAACATAAGTTGCAGGATTTGCTCTGGCTTAGGGGGATTGATTTAGAGAGAGGATACTGGAGTAGTCTTTCTGCTCCATTCAAGAGGAACTGACTCTTCAAAGGAGTCAAGAAGCAGAGAGGAAAGGAATGTATGCAGTTTTTTGCCTAAAGCCACTGAGTGTTAGTGGCATCCCTTTAAGACCAAAGAAGTGGTCTAGATGATTTAGAAGTCTACAAATATCAAATCCTTACATTTGTCTCTTTCAGGAAAATGGATATGTGTTCGGGAAAGCATGGCTCAGATGGAATTATTTCTGGTTTTTACTACCATCTTACAGAATTTTACCTTGACATCTCCCATTGACCCCAAAGATATTGACACCTACCCAGTTGTCAATGGATTTAGCCAACTACCCCCCTCCCAGGAGCTCTGCTTTCCATTTTCCTAAAACATGTGAAGGACCACCCTTGATTCTAACTTCTCTAGAGCCTCCTCACATGCTGTGAACAAGCTGCATTCATTTCATGGCAATCAAACCCCTCTATGATTTCAGTCCAATATACCCTTCTAGCTTAATATAATACACCCTTTGACTTTTGCAAAAAATCTTGATTTAATTTTCACCAATATTCCCCAGAAATTCCATGTTCCTGGAATATTTCTTCTCTTCTCCACAACTCCACAGATTGAAATCCTACCCACCTTTCACATCACAATTTAGATACCATATCCCTGTGACCTCTTTAGTACTTATAGTCTGCATTACACAATTTGTATAACAACAACAACAACTACTACTACTACATATTTCAACTGCCTACTATCATTGCAAAGTATGTATGTTAAAAAAAATACAGGATACATTTGAATAGTTCAGTTTGACTGAAGCATAGAGTACTTAGAGGATATTAATATAAGATAAGCCTGGAAAGGAAGAGAAGACTTGCATGTTAGGAAGAAGAGTTTAGACTTTACTCAGTAAACAAAAAGTGAGTTCAATATTGACCTGATCTATGCAAAAGGGAGGTTAGTTTGACAGAATGTGAGGAATGTATTTTATGGAAGAGATGGCTTTTGCAACTATATAAAGTCAAGGAAGCCAGGTTGTTTCAGGATCTGGAAAAAGGAATCATTTGACACACACATTACAATGATTGATTTAATGAAGCTAGTAGATAGGATATTACAGGTATTCAATTTCAATTAATTATGCATCTGCCTGATGATTTTCAGCTGGGATATACAGAATTGTTCAGCTATATAGCAAGATGCAGAAATTCCTCGCTCCTCAAAATGCTACTGAGAAGGGATTCTTTCATTTACCATCATGACATACTTCCAAAATACACACAAATAGTCCAGTTTTCTTTTTGTCCAAGAGTGTGGGGACTTAGAATTGGCTATATGCACGAATATTTGCAACTACTTAAAAGGTACAAAAAACAAGCAAGCAATAAGATTACTGTCAGCAGTCTCTGAAAAACGGTAAGAGTTCTTCTACCTTCAGCCATATTGCCAATCTCGGTTTATTCTTAGCCTGTTTGAGGAAAGGATGAAGATTTGAAGGGATAACTAATCTCTTAGCTTCTCCAAGAGCCTGCTATATTAAAAAAAAGACTTAATAAATTATTTTTCGTTCATTCATTTGTTCATTCATTTATTCATTAAGGTATTCAAAATCAAAGACCCACCCTCTTTTCCCATTGGGAAATTCTAGGTTTCATTTCTGTAGTGCTTATGGTCAGAAACACTGCCAAAAAAAAAAAGCAACTTAGAAGGGACCTTAGGGTCAATCTACTTCGACTTGCACTATTTCATTATCATTTAGCATTAGAAAACTTCCTCTAGTCTCAGCAATATTTGAAAAACATGGGCTACCACATAATGATGGTATGAAATTAATAGCTCTTATTGCTCCAAGATTAGATGAGTATGTCACCTTAGAAAACAATTCAGTAGATGAAATGGAAAACTTAGGGTTAGGAATAAATCAATCAGTCAATCAAATATTAATTAAACATTTCACAGAATCACAGAATTTGAGTTGAAAGGGATTTCAGTTCCTGTCTTGTCTAACCCACACTACAGGAATTCCCACTATAATACATCAAACAATTGGTCATCCAGACTCATATCCAAGCACTGTGCTAGGTGCTAGTGGTAAAAAATCAAAATGGAAACAATGTCTATCCTCAAGGTGCTTATATTCTATTGGGGAGACAACTAGTCCATCCATAAGTTCAGTGTATATTTTATAAGTACAGGACAACATGAACTTATATAAATGTAAGATGCCAATGTGGTGCAATGGGAAGAGTAAAAAAGAGGATCTGGGTTCAGATCCCAATTCTGCCACCTGTCTGTGAGAACTTGGTCAAGTCACAACCTCTCTGGACCTCAGTTTCCTTATCTGTAAAATGAGAGGATTAGACTAGATGCTCCAACTGACGTCTCTTCTGGTTCTAAATTTATGATCCTCTAAGTATATATAAAATAAATGCAGTCAATTTTGGGGAGAGTCACCAGTTGTTGAGGGATCAGTAAAGGAAACAATTACATGATGGCCAGGCTTCTAATACTCTAAGTGACCATTTTTGATGTGTCTGCTAGATGTATCTTTTGCTGGTCTCAGGTCAACAGATTTTTGAGCTGGAAGGGACTTTGCAAATCATCTGGTCCAATCTTTACATTTTGTAGATAAGAAAAAAAGTGAGGTCCAGAAAATTGATGTGACTCGCCCCAGACCACATAATTTGCTAATTTCAGAATCCTGGTGTCCTGAGTCCAGTTTACTTCTTTCCCCATTATATCCTTCTTCTTTACTTTATTTCGATAAATACGCACATCCCATGTTTCTTAATGATGTAGTAAAATAGGTGGGAAATTCATTTGCATCACTTTTTATATTGATGTATCTTCTCTTCCTTAATGTGACACTTGTCATTTTTCTATATTTGGGTTGGCAGGCATCATACATGATGCTTGGGCATGCACCTACTAGATGTCCAGAAAGACTTTGGTTATTATAGCTTTATGTTTGTTATAGAACTGTGGGCTGGAGATCATGAAGACTCATCTTCCTGAGTTTAAATTTGGCCTTGGACACTTACTAGCTCTCTGACCCTGGGCAGGCCTCTTTACCCTGTTTGCCTTAGTTCCTCAACTGTAAAATGAGCTGGAAAAGGAAATGGCAAACCACTCCAAAGTCTTTGCCAAGAGAACCTCAGATGGGATCACAAAGAGTCGTGTCTCAGCAACAACAAAAGATTTCCTTAGGTGGAGTAAAGTGAGTGTGTTTTTAAATCCAGTGTGTTCACTAACCACCATTATCTTAAACTGGTTAAATATTTCCTACTCTACAGCATCTCTTATGGGCTCCAATAGTTGTTTGGGAAATCATAAGGAAGTTATGAAGATAGGAGGTGTCAAATCTAGTTTGGAACCTAGTATGTGATTTGTGCTAACACTGTCTTCTTTCTCTTCATCTTGCTCTTTCTCCCTTGGCAGTGAGATCATTTTCTGGTCTGTTTTGCCCAGGCTCTACACTGTGAGAGGCCACAAGTTAATCATAAAGGATTGAGTCTGTCCTATTGGTTCAAATGTGGGGTGGGGTAAGGAGTTCAGGAATCCAGAAATGAGATCTCAATCAGACGAGAGAAATAGAAGCTGTAAAGAGAATTGAACTTCATATCTAAGCAAGCAGCAAACCAGCTGAAGTTCCCAGACATCATCAGTCCAGGAGGGCTCACTGAACTAGAGTTTTGCACCAGGAACCAGGTGAGGTGATCTATTCACACACATAGTGTATGCTTCAATTTACTTCACTGAGAATGGTCCATAGTGGTCGCCCAATTCTAGGTGCTATAGTGGAAAGTCATGAAGTTTGAAGTTAAGGCAACCTGAGTTCAAATAATGGCTCTGCCATTTATTAACTGTGTGGCCTTGGGCAAATTACTGAACTTTTCTGGGGATCAGTTAAAATAAGGTGGTTCCAATTGATCGCTATTATGTATTATTCTTGCCAGATCTAAATCTAAAACACCTTATATTTCTATGGTCTAAAGATAATACATTTCTATAGCAAGAGTACTTTCCTTAGGACAGACCTGTAAAGTAGCTTGTGCAAATATTGTTGTCCCTACTTTACAGATGAGGAAAATGAGGTCCAGAAGGTAGCAGTGACTAACAGCACCAGAACTTATGTCTTATGACTAAAGGTTGGAAACTTTCAGGGCTCCTCAGTGAGTCTTCCCTCTTCAAGTTCTACCTGCCTTATATCCACATGCACTCCTTTTCCCCTTTTCTCCCTTCTTCCAAATTCAGATGAGCCCCTGAATTGTTTAAGCTAGGCAAAAGAATTGCTCTTTCCCAGAAGTACTGAAAAATGACTTCCCCTTTGTGTTGAGAAGACAGAAGAACATCTTTGTCCAAAATCATTTTGTAGCAGTTGTTTCTACTCATTCTATTGTGTTCTCCTAGTCCATGATCAACTTCTTGATGGCACCAAGGAAGGGACTTTAGAAATCAATCCACTAGCCCATTCCTCTCATTTTATAGATGGTGTTTGGGGAAACAGATATTTAGTGAGGCGACACGACTTTGGCAAAGAGTTCAGAGCTCTCTCTGCATCAGTTCTTACAAGATTTCCCAGGTTGTGATGAAATAATCACTTTCATCATTTCTTAAGATACAATAGTATTCTGTTACATTCACGTACCCTAATTCATTCAGCTCTTCTCCAGTCGGTAGGTATCCCCTTAATTTCCTATTCTTTGCTAACACAAAAAGAGGTGTTATAAATAGTTTTGTTCATACGCTTCTTTCTCTTTGTTCTTTGATGTTTGGGGGTATGGGCCTAGTAATGGTAGTTGGGTCAAAGGCTATGCACAGTTTAGTATCTTTTAGGGCATAATTCCAAATTGATAGAGCCCTGAGCCACGCTGTCCTGAAAATGCTCTTGCTCCTTGCTGTACCAGTACTGCACTCACTGGGTGTTTGTTCACCCAGTGAACAAACTTTCCTACAGCCACAACCTGGGATCATGTCTGGTCAGCACCACTAGACCTAGCATCTGGAAATAGCAGGGTGAGGGTGGTCCTTCAGTCTTCCTCCACTTAACCATCTGATCCTCATGCTGGGTGAGTCGGAAGTCCAAAGGACTTGAGGCGAAAGTTCTTTGAGGCCTGCTCTGCTTCCCTGGGGGCAGCTCTGTGGAAGTTCTAGAGGAAGAGGGTAAATTTGAAATAGAAAGAAAATCTACCATTTACCCCCTAAAAGAGATACCAGGAGGAAAACTTAAAAGAATGTCATAGCCAAGTTTCAAAACTCCCAGGTTAAGGAGAAGATATTGTGAGCAATAAAGAGTAAAACAAAAAACAAAACCAAAAAAAATTTAAATACTGTTGGGAAAACAATCAGGATTTCACAAGAACTAGCAGCTTCAACATTAAAAGACCATAGATCTTGGAATATTATATTTCAAAGAGCAAAAGAGCTGGGGTTGTGACCAAGAATAACTTAACCAACAAAGTTGAGTATCATCCTGAATAAAAAAAGACATTTGACAAACTGAAATACTTTCAAGTATTTGTGACAAAAAGACCAGAACTCCATGAAAAATTTCATATAAAAGATCCAGGAGAAAAATGAGAAAAACATTAGAGACCAATTATAAGGGACTCATTAAGGTCAAGCTGTTTACTTCTTGTATACGAGAATATTGTCAGTATTCTTTCAACTGTCATCATTTATAAGGTAGTTTGAAAGAAAGATTGGGGCTGAGCTGTGTGTGATGGTGTGATTCTAAAAACAAAATTGGGCAGGAAAAGGTAAAAAGGAACAATTATCTCAAAAATGGGTGAAAGAAAGAACTGATACAAAGCAGGTGAGAATGGAAGGCTGGTAATGTTGGAACCTTACTCTCATCTGATCTGGATTGAAGAGGAAATAATATGTACATCTGTAGGGGTGGAGAAGTCTTCTGGACTTGTAGAGAGGTGAGATGACTATGTAGAGTAAGATTTAGTAAAGTGGAGGAAGAGGATAAGGGAAGGACTCAATGGGTTGGATAAAATAAAGAATAGGAGGATAAGAGGAGAAGATAAGGTAACAGGGATAGGTAAAAAGAGAGGCTGAGAGGATGATAGTGAGTAAAATTAAGATGGAAGGAAATTCTCAAATAGTAATTATACCTTTGAATGTGAATGGGATGAATTCACCCATAAAACAGAATCAGAATCCAACAATATGTTGTTTACAAGAAACACATTTGAAAAATGAGAGCTATACACAGAGTTAAAATGCAGGGTTGGAGTAGAATTTATTATGTTTCAGCTGATAAAATAAGACAGGGATAGTAATCATGATCTCAGACAAAGTTAAGGTTAAAATAGAATTAATTAAAAAAAAGATAAACAGGGTAACTACATTTTGATGAAAGGTACATTGACAGGAAATAACATCAATACTGAACCTATATGCACAAAATGCTATAACACCTAAATTTTTAGAAGAAAAATCAAATGAGGAACAAGGGGAGAAAAATAGTAGTCCTATAATAGTGGGAGACATTAACCTTTCCCTTTCAGAACTAGAAATCTAGCCAAAAAACAAATAAAGAAATCAAGAAAGTGAACAGAATTTTAATTAAGCTAGAGATAAAGATCTGGAGAGACTTGAATAGAAATAGAAAGGAATAAATTTTTTTTCTCTGCAGTTCGTAGTACCTTCACAAAGATTGACCATATATTAGCACATAAATTTTTTATAGTTAAAGGCAGAAATAGTAAAAGTATCCTTTTCATATCATAATGCAACAAAATTATATTAAATAAGGGACCATAGATTAAAAACTAATTGGAGATTAAACAATCTAGTTTTAAAGAATGAGTGGATTAAATAACAAGTTATAGAAACAATCAATAATTTTATTAAAGAGAATGACAATGAGGCAACATATTAAAACCTATGAGAGGCAACAAAAGCAGTGATCAGAAGTAAATTTGTATTTCTAAATGCTTACATCAATAAAATAGAGAAAGAATGGATCAATGAATTGGCTATGCAATTAAAACACTAGAAAAAGAACAAACTAAAAATCCCCAATTAAACACTGAATTGGAAATCCTAAAAATTAAGAGTGAGATTTAAAAAATTGAGTGTAAAAAAACCATTGAATTAATAAATGAAACTAGGAGTTGGTTTTATGAAAAAAAAATGAATAAAATAGATAAACCATTGGTTAACTCAATTTAAAAAAAAAGAAAGAAGAAAACCAAATCACTAGTATTAAAAATCAGAAGGATAAATATACCACTAAATTAAAATGAAATTAAAACAATTATTAGGAGTTATTTTACCCAATTATATGTCAATAAATTTAACAATTTAAGTGAAATGGAAGAATATTCACAAGAATATAAATTGCCTAGATTAGCAGAAGAAAAAATAGAGTATCTAAATAGACCTATTTTAGAAAAATAAATTGAACAGCCTATAAATGAGCTTCCTAAGGAAAAAAAAACCATCAATACCAACTGGATTTACCAGTGAATTTTATTAACATTTAAAGATCAACTAATTCCAGCATTTAATAAATTATTTGGAATAATAGGCAAATATGATACTGATACCTAAAACAGGAAGAGCAAAAACAGAGAAAGAAATCTATAGACTATTTCCCTAATGAATATGGAGGCAAAAATCCTAAATACAATGCTAACTAAAAGATTACAGCAATATATCACAAAGATTGTATGTTATGACCAAGTGTAATTTATACCAGGAATTCAGGGATGGTTTAACATAAGGAAAACTATTAACATGATTGATTATATCAATAGTAAAAGTATAAAAAAAACCCACATGATTATATCAATAGGTGCAGAAAAAAACTTTTGATAAGTAGAACATTCATTTCTAATAAAAACACTTGAAAGTATAGGCACAAATGAGTTCTTCCTTAAAGTGATAAAAAGCATTTATCTAAAACCACCAGCAAATATTATTTGTAATGGGGATAAGCTAGAAACCTTCCCAGTAAGATCAGGTGTGAAACAAGAATTCTTACATGTCACCAATATTATTCAATATTGTATTGGAAATCCTAGCAATAAGAGAAGAAAAAGAAATAGAAGGAATCAGAATAGGTAATGAGGTAATAAAACTATCTCTTTTTGCAAATGAGATGATGATATACTTGGAAAATCCCCAAAACACAACTAAAAATTAGTTGAAGCAATTGGCAATTTTAGCCAACCTCCTCAATTTTAGCAAAGTAGCAGGATATAAAGTAAATCCACATAAATCATCAGCATTCTTATATATCACAAACAAAACCCTGCAAGAAAAAATAGTAAGATATACTCCATTTAAAATAACTAGACAGTATAAAAACAAATCTATGAACTATATAAACAAAATTATAAAAAATTTCTTACACAAATAAAACCAGATTTAAATAATTGGAGAAATGCTAATTGTTCATGTGTGGGCAGGGCCAATATAATAAAAATGACAGTTTTACCTAAACTATACACTCAATTGCATCCCAATTAAATAATTAAAACCAAAAAATTGGGGAAAATTTTATAGACAGTTTCTTTATAAAATCTGTAAGATTTTGAGTCACCACCCAATTGATAAATAGTCAAAAGATATGAACAGGCAGTTTTCCAATAAAGAAATCAAAACAATTTATAGTCAATAAAAATGCTCTAAATTGTTATTGATTCGAGAAATGCAAATTAAAACAACTTTGAGATATCATTTTACAACTATCAGATTGGTTAAAATGATTGAAGGGAAAAGCTACAAAAGTTGGAGGGGATGTGGAAAAATTAAGACACTAATTCATTGTTGGTGGAATTGTGAATTGATCCAACCATTTTGGAGACCAATCCGGAATTATGCCCAAAGAGTTATTAAACTGCCTATATCTTTTGACCCAGCAATACCACTACTAGGTCTATTTCCAAAGATGATTAGGGAAAAATAAAAAGAACCTATTTATTCTAAAATATTTATAGCACCTCTCTTTGTGGTGGCAAAAAAAGTGGAAGTTGCAAGGATGCCCATCTTTTGGGGAATGGCTGAACAAGTTGTGGTTTATGATCTTGTTGGAATATTACCATGCTTTAAGAAGTGAGGAGCTTGAAGATCTTAGAAAAACATGGATAAACTTGCACAAAATAATGGAGAGTGAAATGAGCAGAACCAAGAGAACACTGTATACAGTAACAACAATATTGTTTTAAGAACAGCTTTGAGTGAAAAAATAATTGTAACTAAAAATTAACTACAAAATGGGGCAGGTAGGTGGTGCCATGGATAGAGCTCCAGCCTTGGAGTCAGGAGGACCTGAGTCCAAATCCAGTCTCAGACTCATGACTCTTACTAACTGTGTGACCCTAGGCAAGTCACTTAACCCTGATTGCCTCACCAAAAACAACAACAAAAAAAAGAACTACAAAGGACATATGAAGGAAGATGCTATTTGCATCAAAGAAAGAAGTGAAATATACAAGTACGTATAGAATGATTTTACATATATATGTATGCACACACATACACACACACGTATATACATACACATATTTGTGTCTAATGGTAGCCATCTCCAGAGTGAGGGGGGTGGGAAGGAAGAAAAAAGAAAAAAAGAAATTTAGATGATAATTTTGTTATGTGCTTACAAGGAATAGCAAGTTGTACATGATAGATTTCCAGTTTCATGTGCAATCATCTTTTTTTTAAATTATACTATGTTATGGAAATGCTTGTTTTATTCCACTAATTAAAAATTAAATAAATAAAAAGAAACAGAAACAAATTGCTTTCCAAAATGGTGGGACCAATTCATAGCTTTACCAATAGTCTATTAATGTGCCTGTTTTCCTGAAGTTCTTGGAACATTTATCATTTCCCTGTCTTGTCAACTTTGACAATCTGATGCATGTAAGGTGAATCCTCAGAATTACTTTAATTTACATTTATCTACTAATGATTTGAAGTATTTTTCCCCAAATTATTATAGTTAGCTTGGATTTCTTCATTTGAAAATTGCTTGTCCCCATCCTTTGGCCATTTATCAACTGGGGAATGAGCTTACCGTTTTTATCTTTATTAGCATGTCAGAGTTCATTAGAAGTAAAACCCTATTTTGCCAGAAAAGGTGGACTCATTGGCTGATTAGTTTTGTGTTTACAATTCATACAGGCATTGGAATCTCAGCCTTCCATATCAGTAATAGCAAGGAAGAATTTCAATGGATCCATCTACGGTGACTGCTTTTGGCCTAGTGTTCTGTATCTCGTGTCTGCTTCTTATTTCAGCATGGAGGAATGCACTTGGAAGAGGAAAGCTACCTCCTGGCCCTGTTCCTCTTCCAATTATTGGTAATATGTTGCAGTTGGACACTAAGAATATCCCCAAAACCTTATGCATGGTAAGTGAGGCTCAGTCTGTCCTATTGGTTTCATTTCTGGCTTTCAATGGCAATGTGTTTTGGGAGACCATCTTCAAGGAAATTATCCTAATGAGCATAGTTTATATTAGAGAAAGAAAATACTAGACAGATTATCTAATCCATATTTTGATTCACTTGTGACTACCATGGCCCATTTTGGTTAGATTTATCTAATTCTGAGAGGGGAAAGTTAAGGTTCCCCACTAGTATAGTTTTATTATCTATTTCTTCCTGTAATTCATTCAACTTCTTAAAAAATTTGGATGCTATATCATTTGGTGCATATATGTTTAATATTGATATGACTGCATTGTCTATGATTCCTTTTTGTAAGGTATGATTTCCTTCTTTTTCTCTTTTATTTAGATCTATTTTTGCTTTTGCTTTGTCTGAGATCATGATTGCTACCCCTGTTTTTTTTTGCCTCAGATGAAGCATAATAGATTCTGCTCCAGTCCCTTACCTTTACTCTGTGTGTATCTCTCTGCTTCAAATGTGTTTCTTGTAAACAACATATTGCAGGATTCTGGTTTTTAATCCACTCTGCTATCTGCTTCTGTTTTGTGGGTGAGTTCATCCCATTCACATATATAGTTATGATAACTAATTGTGTATTTCCCTCCAAGCTATTTTTCACTTATTTATCTCTCTCTCTGACACCGCACCTTTTCCCTCCTCACAAGTGTTTTACTTCTGATCACCACCTTTCCCTATATATCCTCCCTTTTATCAGTCCCCTCACACTCTTCTATTATCCCCATCCCTTTTAACTTCCTTATAGGGTAAGATAGATTTCTATATCCAACTCAGTGTGTATGTTATTCTTGCTTTAAGCCAATTTTGATGAGAATAAGGTTTAAGCTTTGCCCACCACCAACAACACCCTCCCCCGAATCTTCCCATCCATTATAATAGCTCTTTCATGTTTCTTCTATGTGGGATAATTTACTCTATTCAGTCTCTACCCTCCTTCTTCTTGCACTGCAATTTTCTTTCTCACCCCTTTATTTGGTTTTTGGGAGGGTAACACCCCGTCAAAATCACTTCATATTCCCACCTTGTGTCTACATATACTCCTTCTAATTGCTATTATAGTAATCAAGTTGTTAAGAGTTACCAATATTATCTTGCTATATAGAAATACAAACAATTTAACCTTATTGAATTTCTTATGTTTTTTCTTGTTTCTTTTTTACCTTTTTATGTTCCCCTTGATTCTTGTATTTGGAGATCAAATTTTTTTCAGTACTAGTCTTTCAATTAGAGATGCTTGAAAGACCTATATTTCATTAAATGTTCATTTTCCCCCTGAAATATTATGTTCAATTTTTCTGGGTAGGTGATTCTTGTAATCCTAACTCCTTGTTTTTTGGTATATCGTATCCCACGCTCTCTGTTTCTTTAACGTGGAAGCTGTCAAATCCTGTGTAAACCTGACTGTAGCTCCATATTTGAATTGTTTCTTCTTGGTTGCTTGCAATACTTTCTTCTTAATCTGTGAGCTCTGGAATTTGGCTATGATGTTCCTGGGGGTTTTCATTTTGGGATCTTTTTCAGATGGTGATCAGCAGATTCTTTAAATTTCTATTTTGCCCTCTCGATCTAATATATCAGGGCAGTTTTCTTTAATAATTTCTTAAAAGATATTATCCAGGCTTTTTTTATTACAGTTTTCAGGTAGTCCAATAATTTTTATATTATCTCTCCTCAATTGATTTTTTAGGTCAGTTGTTTTTCCAACAAGAAATTTCCCATTTTCTTCTATTTTTTTCTCTTTTGATTTTTTAAAAATTATTTATTTTTTTATAGGCAATTGGGGTTAAGTGACTTGCCCGGGGTCACATAGCTAGCAAGTGTCAAGTGTTTGGTCTGAGGCTGGATTTGAACTCAATTCCTCCTGACTTCAGTGCTGGTGCTCTATCCACTGCACCACCTAGCTGCCCCTTTCTCTATTGATTTTGTTTTATTATATCTTGATGTTTCATACCATCATTAGTTTCCACTTGTTCAATTCTAATTTTTAAGAAAATATTTTCTTCTGCAAGCTTTTGTATTTTCTTTTTAATTTGGCCAATTCCATTTTTTAGGGAGTTATTTTCCTTGGTAAAGTTTTGTATATCTTTTCCCATGCTATTGACTCCTTTTTCATAATTCTTGCATTACTCTCATTTCTTTTCTCATTTTTTCTTCTACCTCTCTAATTTGCTTTTTAAAATCTTTTTTACATCTTTCCAGGAATTATTTTTGGGCCTGAGACCAAATTACATTTTTCTTTGAGGCTTCACTTGTAGCCATTTTGACACTATTGTCCTCTTCTAAGTTTATGCCTTGAACCTCTCCATCACTATAGTAACTTTCTATGGTCAAGCTCCTTTTTTTTATTTTTTGCTCTTTTTTTGTGACTTGGTGTTTTTATATGAGAGTTGGGCTCTGGTCCTGTGAAGTCCCAAACTTTTTGTGCTAGGGCTCTGGGTCTTACTGCTGGTTTTCACTGGGCTTCAGGGCTTAGCTGCTTGCTTTCTTTGGAGGGTAGGCTTTCCTTTCAGCTTGTACTGGGGGATGGGGTCTCCCTGTTGGCCTCCCCTGGGTATGGGGTTGAGTTACTGGCCTGCTCCAGGGGTGAGGCTTTGCTACTGGGTTGCTATGGAAGCAGGGCCTCTCTGCTGATAAGCCCCAGGGTGGGGTTTCACTACTGGTCAGCAATGGGGTCAAGGACTCCACTGGTGGCTTTTGATGGGGGTGAGATCGCTGGGGTGGGGCCTTGCTGTGCTATTCACTTGCTTAGGGGGCTACTGGTTTGCAGGTGAGATGGGCCTCACTGGTGGATTGCCCCAGGCTTGGAGTTTTGCTGCAGGCCCTCTTCTGTGAGACTAGCTGCTGTTACTTTTGAACCTCACTCCTCTCCCACTCCAGTGGGATAGACCTTTCCTGCTAGGCTGGTAAGCTGCTTCCCTGCTCCTAAATGAATTCTTAGGCAGTTTTCCAGTTGTTTGAAAGGGAATTCAAAAGGGCTTCAGAAGGTTCCTGCCTCACTCTGTTATCTCAGCACCGGAAGTTTATATCTTATTTTCTAAGCTATTCTTCCATTTTTTCCTCCATAAGACTTAATTGTTTATTTTTATCTCTCCTTTCATTTCATCTAGCTACTATTGTCATCCTTGAGGTCAAGCCACTTTTTTTCCCCTGAGACTCTTATTTAGTTATGTGATTTCTGGGTTTACCTCTTGGGTATTTCCTGGGATATAACATTTCCCCATCTTGTTTGTTTTCTTTTGTTTACTCCTATTTGCCAGCTCAGTTCCCAGTTTGTGACTTTGTGATATGGCCAGCCTCTTCCCATTCTCATAGTCTTAGATGTGGTGGTCAGCTCCTGTTGGACTCTTAAATTCTTGGTTTCCTGTCACTGGTTTCCACCTCCCCAATATGTCTATACATGGAGTCCTGGCAGGTTTCAGGACTCCCATGTATCATCCTAGGTTAGAGCACTACATTCTTCATTCCCCTCCTCACTTGAACATCCTCTACCAATTTCCCAATTTTCAGCACCTAGAGTGTCCCAGTCAGAGGTTTATAGACCTCTGGCTTCCCTGGAGCCTTCCAGTCAAAGTGTTATGGAATGAAATCTTTTACAAACATTTATGGGTTTCCAGCCTCTGTTGAATCAGAGTGGAGAATGTTCTCCCTGCATAGGCCTCTACAAGAGCACAGGCACAGCCTTTGTGTGCAGCCCCAGTCCTTATGTGTAATCCTAAGTGTGTCTGGATGAAAGCAAGCCTGGCCACAGGAGGACCCAGCAAGTTCTGAACTCCCATGAGTACAGAAATCAGGATCTAGACCTGTAGATCACAAAGTGTTTTAGAGACAACTTGATGAAGTAGAAGTAGCATTGTCCATGGAATTAAAAAGACCTGGGTTCAAGTCCAGACCCTGGCACATAACTAGTTTTGTGACCATGGACACTTGACCTGCCTCTCCAAGCCTCAGTTTACTTGTCGGTAAGAGGAAATCATTAATAAGAGCCCTATTTGTCTCATAGGGTGGTGCAAGAAGATTAAATGAAGTTAATGTGTAAATGTGCTTTGTAACTACAAACATAAGACAAAACCAAAATGTGTTTTTATTATGTTCTGCTAGATCTCCAGACTGTTGCTCTTCTCATACCTTCCCCAGCCACACCCTTCTTTTGGGGCTTCAGTTTTCTTCTCTGTAAAAGAAAGTGATTAATGAATGTACTACCTACCTCACAGTGATGTAAGTGAAGATCAGATAAAATTCACATATGTGGAAGTGCTTCCTAACCACAAAGTTTTATGGGAATGTGTATATTCATTGTGACTTTTAAATCTCTAAATTGTTACTCTTGTAACACTGGTACCCTTCCATGACATCACCTGCTCTTTTTTTCTTCCCCTATAAAACGAGATGACAGGTTTATATGTCCTCTAAGTTTCCTTGTAGCTCAAAATCTATTGGATTGGTTTACGGGATTTCCAGTGGAGAGAGGGGAGTGGCCAGCACTGTTCACCCGATCCAGGATTTCATTGATGGCACTGTTCCTCCTTTCCCGCTCTGGTGTTTTCAAAGTTTGAGAAAAACAAAAATAAAAAAGAGCTCCTTCTCAGGGGAAGGTTGGAGACCCAATACCAGACCGTGCAACTGCTATCTCACAGCAGAAAGTGAGATTTTGGACTTTGGGTCCTTCTGTGTCCTGGGTCAGGCATACGTATTGCTTAGATGTTTTTTGTTATAAATGATAGAAATGGTTTGAAAGAGGCAGAGAATAGATTGAGGACTTCTCCAATGAGAAGTCCAAACTTTTTGTCAGCAAGTTCAGTGATGACTCTCTCAAAGCCCTCTGCATCTGCTCCTCCAGCTGGCAAAAGTCTACGGCCCAGTGTTCACTCTGTATTTGGGTTCTGAACCTATTGTTGTATTACATGGGTACAAGGCAATGAAAGAAGCGCTGACTGATCATGGAGAAGAGTTTGCCGGCAGAGGAAGTTTCCCCATCATTGATGCTATTAACAAAGGGTTGGGTAAGTTTCTGCTTGGTGTAGAGCTGTGAATTCAGATGTAGCAGAGAATGGAGAAAAGGTTGTCATTCTAAGAAATTAGTAGAAATAGATCCACTTACCCAAATCACCTAAATCAGAAACATACAATCATAGCTTCTGGAATTAGGATTGTAGCTATGTATCTTAAGGGAATTTGTGTTCCCTTCTCTTTACTTACAACATGATCCCCTCAGTTCAGACTCTCATCACCTCTTGTCTAGGCTTTACCATTGTTTTCCCTACTTTAAAACTCTCCCTGCTTCAACCCTATATTTCCTTGGTTTTACCAGAATTTATCTTTTGGACTGTATCTTCCCTAACTTATCCATACATATAAGAGAAATATTGCCAAATGTCTTGCTGAAATTTAGGGAAAATAGGTCAGTATTCCCTGGATCTTGTTTTGCAATCATATGAAAAATGAGGTTAGTCTAAAAAAAGCTTATTATCAAGATACCTATGCTAACTCTTAATGAAATCACCCTTCCTAAGATCTCACAAACCAACCTGTCTCTGGTGGAGAGTGCTGGGACATAGTATAAATGAGACAAGCCTCCTGTCCTTCCCCCACTACGTCGAACCTGTCTCATCCTATGCCAAGTCTCTCTCTCCAGGCATATGTACAGTTATATTTTTAAGATGTTAATGGCAAGGGGTAAGGGTGGTTAATAGATACTTAATTAAAAAAAAAACTTGTCATGAGAAAAATGAAATTAATCTGAGTCAGGGATTCTCTGCCTGGTACCAGTAAGAATGGAATAAAAATTACCTCATCTAAGCAACTAGGTGGCACAGAGAGTAGAAAGCTTGAAGTTAGGAAAGAATGGGTTTAAATTCTGATTCAGATGCTTCTTAGCTGCATGACCTTGGGCAAGTCACTAAAACTTTTCCAGACTCAGTTTCTCAAGATGTAAAATGGAGATTGGAATAGCAATTGTAATAGTAATAATGAGATACAATAATAGTAATAAAATGGAGATTGTAATAGTACCTCAACCTCAAAAGGTTGTTGTGACTATCAAGTGAGATAATATAGGCAAAGTGCTTTGCAAACATTACAGTGATGATTGCTACCTATTGTTCAGTTGCTTTTCAGTTGTGTCTGACTCTTTGTAGCCTCATTTGGAGTTTTCTTGGCAGAGATACTAGAGTGGTTTTCCATTTCCTTCTCCAGTGCTTTTTACAGATGAGGAAACTGAGACAAGCAGGTTGAAGTGACTTGCCCAGGGTCACACAGTTAGTAAGTATCTGAGACTGAATTTACACTTAGGTCTTCCTAACTCCAGGTCTGCTACACCACTCAACTGCCCCCTCAAATACTTTTTATTAATATCATTATTATTATTATGATTTTAGTCAGCAATATTAAGTAGGAGCCAAAATACTGAGCCTTTGAAAGCTAAGCATGGAGAAATGTGGCTAATGTGAATAAAAACAATATGAAGCAAGGATGTCTATATTGTTCCCTAACTTCTTGCTTTTTGAAATGGGCTTAAAAATGAGTCATCTGGCTAAGACTGAGAGTGGGCTTCCTTGTCCAGGTTGCTAGTGATAAAATACGGCAAGATTACATTTCTTGTGATGTTTGACAATTCCCACACTTCAAACTATTCTACTAGAACCAGGTCAAGAGTCCGTAGGCATGGATTCTGCAAAATAGGAGACAAGAGCATTTTCTGAGACTTTCCAGTCTGTGGGAGTTGGAGATTCACTCTTCTTACCTCCCCGATTCTCCTTATAGGACTTGCTTTCAGCAGTGGAGAGAGATGGAAGCAAATGCGCCGCTTCTCCCTCATGACCCTGAAGAATTTTGGGATGGGGAAGAAAAGCATTGAAGAGCGAGTCCAAGAAGAGGCAAAGTACCTGGTCGAGGCATTAAAAACAACCAATGGTTGGTGCTTATTTACTTTAAAAAAACAAATCTCTAATCTCAGGAAAAATGGTTACTTTTCTGATAACTGAAGACTGAGGTAGACCCCAAAGAGTCTGCTGTGATCTGCAGTCACCCCTAGGTTTGTCTGAGTTCCCAGTCTTGTTCTGGTACAAGCCCATAACACTAATGATGATGATGATGATGATGATGATGATGATGATGATGATGATGACGGCTAGTATTTATATAATGCTTTACTGTTCATTTCATCTTATCTTCACAACAACCCTGGGAGATAGGTGCTATAACTCTCCCCATTTTACAGATGAGGAAACAGGAAAACAGAGGTTAGGTGACTGTCCAGCATCACACAACTAGAAAGTGAGGCTGGATTTGAACCCCTCCTGGGTAATGCAAAAATAGGGAGAGGGCTGGATTTAGCTCAGGCTGAAGTTTGCCAAGCCCTGTTCGAAACTTAAGAAATTATTAACACAGAATAAACTTAAAAGTGTGTGCATACTTCACCCCCCTCAGATAGTCAGTAGTTAAACATTTACCAGTAAGTCCCTATATTGCCCTATAAACATTGTTTGAACTCCACAGAAGTATAGTAGAAAGAAGGCTTAGGGAATAAAGTCATCATCAGGCTGGAGGACTAGTGACTATAAGCTAATAATAATAATAATCACTGAGATTTATATGATGCCTTAAGGTTTGCAAATGCTTTTATATCAATTTATCTCATTTGAGCATCATACCACCCTATTACCAAAAACCTCTTACATTTTGACCTTTTCTCATTCTTCTTCTCCACAAAAATGTTGTAAGGATTAAATCAGAAAATATGTACAAAGTGCTTTTTATTACCTTTCTATACCATGTAATTCTCAGCTATAATGAAAGTTAAACCTGTTGGAGGAGAACATAAAATAGTCTGGTGGCCACTGCTCCTTAAGGTAGACAAATCTTCCCTTGTGGTCTCAATGCTAACCAGTTAAAAATCAATATTAAAGCTCTCTGTCTTTCCCTAATTCTTTAGGGATGCCCTGTGACCCCACATTCATCCTTGGGTGTGCTCCCTGCAATGTCATCTGCTCTATCATTTTCCAGAAGCGTTTTGAATATCATGATCAGAAATTTCTACATTTAATGGAGCTTTTAGATGAAAAGGTCAAGATCCTGAGTTCACCATGGGCACAGGTGTGTGCAGAGTTCTTTTTTTATGGGACGTAGAACACTCTTTTTTATTCTAGAGAGAAGCTCTACCTGGATCAAGGCTGGGGTCCAATATGAACTTCATAGGGAGGTACAACTGTGAGATCCAGCCATAATCCAAATCTTTTTCATCATAAACAGATGGCCCCTTGAATGTAGTTGGAGAAGATCACCCCTTTAAAGTTTCACTGAGGGCCTCTATCAGGCCCTTTCCTGAAGGAGTCTACCTATATGTCAAAGGGACTGACATCAAAGGTCCCTTTTTTAAAAATACCCATTGCCAGAGGACTGCTGACCTTGGCCATGAACACTTGAACCTGGATAGTGTTAGCAGGTGTCAGCTGCCCCACTGGAAATTAGAAAGCAGAGCTCTGACACAGGAAACCTTTCAGGGGTAATTAATTAATAATGGAAAGTGGAAGTTCAGATGGACACTGGCTGCCAGCAAGGGGAGGAATATTAAAATGATTTCAGGGGGTTTTGCAGGTGAGTGAAGAGGATGAGTGAAGATATGTCACATTTTTTTCATAGGGGATTTGCCTTGGCAACTTCTCCTTACCTGGTCACAATCTTCTCTTCTGAATCCAAGGTTGGAGAACTATTTCGTGTATCTACCGAAAAAGAAATGTGCCATTGTTTCTTTTTTATAGATCTACAATCTCTTCCCAGCTTTGGTACAATATCTCCCAGGATCTCATCACAAATTATTTAAGAACTGTCAAATGCTGCATAATTTTATTTTGGGGAGAGTGAAAGAGCACCAAGAAGCCCTGGACTCCAACAACCCTAAGGATTTGATTGACAGTTTCCTTTTAAAAATGGAGCAGGTACAGTGAGAGGAATGGGGCTGCAGCTCAATTCTTGGGAGTTGTGTGATTCCTGTGTTGGGGGCTGTTCACGAGTAAATAAAAGGAAGTGAGAATTTCTTAAAGGAAGTGTCTTCAGAGAACTATGTGAGGAACTGAGGGACAGTTGGTCCCTGTCATGAAAGAGTGTATAAGCTAATTAGAGGAAGGAAATACTTGAAGGGGCCTGAGAATAATTGTAAGGTGAGAAGCATGGCCCAGGGCAGAAAGAACAGCATATGGAGTCAGGAAGACCTGTGTTTAAGTCCCATCTCAGATGCTTACTAGCTGTTTGACCCTGGACAAGTCAGTTAACTTCTCTATGCCTCAGTTTCCTCATCTGTAAAATGAGGAGTTTGGAATTGATGACATCTAAGGTCTCTTCCAGCTGTAAGACCTAGGAGCCTATGATTCTAGGACTGTATCAGGAAGGGCAAAATAGTAGACAATGACAATGCACAATAGAATTGGGAAGAGTTGGATACAAAACATTCTTCTAGAAGAGCTAAGTTTTGATCTGGATATTGAGAGAGGTGATGGCAATTAAACAAACTGGCAATCTGAATGGGAAAGGGTATTTCAGGACTCTGAAGAGATGGGTAGGTGTGAGGGATGATGGCAAACTGAGTGGCCAGATTGAAGTGGAGTTGCTTTAGTGGGTGGTAGTGAGAGATGGGGTTGAAATGATACAAGAGGATTCTCTGACAATGATGGCAGAGGAAGGATCCAAAAGGAGCCAGGTTCCTCTCTTACCTTTCAAAAAACAACAAAGACAAAAACCAAGAAGAAGAAGAACAACTATTAATCTACACTACGTATAAGGAAGTATCAACTTCCTTAGAAATGAATAAAGCAAAATGCTAGTATAATTTTTAAAAAATACAGCAAAAGAACTGAAGAAACTGAAAAGCAGTGGACACAAGGTAGATGTTAGAAGAAAAGCACCCAGTACCCTGGTAGATGTCCTGAAGTAGCCTGAAAGAAATTAGTGTGCTTTGAGAGCTCCACATAGGTTTCTCTTGCCAGATTAACCAGAAGAAAAGAGACAAATAGATAGACTAAATAAAATATTTATAAAATGCTTACTATCTTTCAGGCAGTAAGAAAGGAGGTCCTTATTCTCAATGTGGAGGACAACATATAAAAAGGGAGCTGGAAAGGGAGTGATGGGAGTGGGAGAGTGAAGGGTGAGGGAAGGTAAGGATGATAACTGGAACATCACGGTGAGAAGATAGCAAGGAAGCTACATTAATTCAAATCAAAAGACATTTAGTTTAACAATAGTAATATAATTTACAAGGAAAATCACTTTTCCCCTAGCCAACAATCCAGGGGTACCTTACTTCATGACTTAACACTGATCAGAGAGACAGATAAGAGAAGGCCCACATGTAAGGAATATCTTTCTGTCTGTCTGTCTGTCTATCTATCTATCTATCTATCCATCTATTTTTCTATTTATCTCTGTCTATCTATTTATCTATATCTATCTATTGATACTAATACACACACACATATACACACCAAGGCAACTCGTGTTCTTGGAGTGAAACCTATCTCCATCTCTATGACTGCCATTTGCAGCTTCCTTCACACAGCCCCTGGTGTTATATGCTTTTCAGATAATATTATTGAGTGGTGGGTATGCTATGCTGAGTTGATTGCTGAGCTATACTATTGGACCAGTATTTCCACTGTTGCCATCTGCTGGTTGTCAGTGGGATGCTCTTTGAGAGTCTTTTGCTACCATCTTCTGATGAATTGTGACTGGTACCAGGCTTTGGCTATTTGGATAAGGGAGGAGTCTTAGCTCTTTCAGAACATAGCACCAGGAACTATCTTACTCTTTTGAGATTTAAATTCCACAGAGTCATCCAGACCAACCAGTAGACTTATGTTTAATTTAATTTACTTTTAATTAATGAAATTTAATTTACTTTTAGACTTATATTTAAGTCATCTTTTGAACAACTTTGCTTTTGCTTAAGTTGTTATTCTGTGACCCCAGTCTTTTACTTGACTTAGTCTTGACCTATGATTTCATGGATGTGTGTGTGCGTGTGTTCATATGTGTATGTATAACTTTGAGAGTAGAAAGTCTCTTCACTAATAGAGTTTGGATTCTCATCTGTAATTTATAGTGTTAGACAGTTGTGTGGGGCAACTGACAGATTGAGTAACTTGCCTATGGTTACCTAGCTATTATCTGTCCAGGCAGAATTTGAACCTAGATCTTTCTGATTTCAAGGCTAGCCCCTCCATCTACTATGTCATGCTGCCTCTTGCCAGGTGATTTAGGGTGAGTGAATTTCTTTCAACTCCCATCATGACAATTGTGGTTGCTGCAAATCTCTACAGGGAATAAGGTTAAAAGTGAATCTGTAGAACTTTTTAAAGGGCAGTTAGGTGATGCAGTGGATGGCGTGCCAGGACTGGAATCAGGAAGACCCCTCTTCCTGAGTTAAAATCCAGCTTTAGGGCAGATAGATGGTGCAGTGGATAGAGCCCTGGCCTTGGAGTCAGAAGGACCTGATTTCAAATCCAGTCTCAGACACATGACACTTACTAGCTGTGTGACCCTGGGCAAGTCATTTAATCCCAATTGCCTCACCAAAAAACAAAACAAAACAAAACAAAAAAAATCCAGCCTTAAATACTTAATAGCTGTGTGACCCTGGGCAAATCATTTAACCCTGTTTACCTCAGTTTCCTCATCTGTAAAATGAGCTGGAGAAAGAAATGGCAAAACACTCTAGTATCTTTTCCAAGAAGACCCCAAATGGGGTCATGAAGATTTGAACATAACTGAAAAATGACTGAACATAACAACAGCACTTTTAACTTTTGTCATGTAAGATACCATGAATTACATGCCCCCTCCCCAACCCTCCAAACCTTCCCCTCTTCTGAACTTGCCTACTACTGTCAGGAGTACTATCCTTCCTACACACCAAGGCTTGAAACCTTGGTGTCATTCTGGACTCTTGCCTCCCACTCACCCAATATCCAATCTGTTGCTAAATTTTGTGGTTTCTACCTTCACATTGCTGTCTAAGTCTGGTTTTACCAGGAGCTAGTTCATTTCCAGCTTTTTGCCATCACAAAAAGATCATAGTTCTTTACAGGTGAAAGGGACCTTTGAAGTCATTGAGTTTAACCCCCCCATTTTACAGATGAAGAAAATAAGACTTAGAGAGGATAAGTGACTTTCCCAAGCTCACATAGATTCTTTACTGGCAGAACTGGTATTCGAACTCACGTCCTTGGACTCCACACGCACCACTCTTGATATTGAAGCATTTTGCTTCTTTTATTACATAATTTTATCAAATTATTCCTAGGAAAAGAAAAAGCCACAGTCTGAATTTACCATGGAAAACTTGCTCTACACTGTGTCTGATATATTTGGTGCAGGGACAGCAACAACCAGTACCACTCTGAGATATGGCCTTCTGCTTTTCCTGAAACACCCTGAGATAACAGGTAGGATTATGGACAATATGCCCAATAATAATGCTCAGAAGTAAAGTCAGGGACAGATGGATTTATGGTCCTGTTGAGACTATCGTTGGGAATATTTCCATTGTCATTTTCGTGTATTTACCAGTCACCACATATTCCAGTTTGTCCTCAGACGACAGACGCAGACCATCTCCAGGTGTGTATTCTTTTTTGTCCATTAATTTTTATATTACTACATATTTATTAAATAAAAAATCATTTCCATATAACATAGGACCATAAAAAGATGACTGTACACAAAACTGCAAATCTACTAAGTGCAACTTGCTATTCTTTTCAGATATAAAACAAAATTATCATGTACATTTCTTTTTTTCTTCTTTTTTTCTATACTTCCCCTATCCCACCCTAGAAATGGCTACCAATAGACACAAATATATATATATATATATATACACACACACACACAATACATATATATGTATATGTATGTATATATATATATACACATACATGTATGTAAAATTATTCCATACATACTTCTATTTATCAGTTTTTTCTCTGGATGCAGATAGTATCTATGTTCATATTTTTTTTACAGTTAATTTGAGTATTCATAATAGTCAAAAAACTTATTCACTCAAAGTCATTCTTAAAATAATATTGCTGTTACTATATACAATGTTCTCTTGGTTCTGCTCATATCACTCTTCATTTTTTCATTCAAGTCTTTCCATGTTTTTCTAAGATCATTGAGCTCATCATTTCTTATAGCAGAGAAGTACTCCATCACAATCCTATACCACAACTTGTTCAGCCATTCCCCAACTGATGGGCATCCATGCAATTTCCAGTTTCCAGGTGCTTATTCAAAGCCATTCAAAGTCAATAGGACTTTGCTCAGAGCTTGTATTCTTCCCTGTTGCAGCCACTCAAACCCAGAAGGAGTTCCATGGTATGATAAGGCACTGGAGCAGTTACATTTTGTTTTGACACAACAACTACTTCCCAACAAAAAACACACGCAAATATTTAAAGTTCCTTCCTCCCCCATATTTGGTTATTGGGAAGTAAGTATTTTTGAACTGTAAGATGTCAAGAGATATTAATATTTTTATTATCAGCTAGATCACTTTCTTCTGAACCAGACAAAGGAAGGTTGAACATACTCACACAAAAACACATATGCAGATACAGAAAGGATGAGGTTTAGAAATACATTAAATAGGTAGAGACAAGAAGTGGGGGAATTTAAGAGGTAAGTAGTAGTCATGAACCAACTCTCATAAAGCTCCAGTGTTAGAGAGGAAAATGTGAAGAGGGAATTAAAAGGAAGAAAATAATGAATAAAAATCTGTGATTAAGGGTGAGACAAGGGGAAAAGAAGAAGAGCAATAGAGTAGAAACAGATTATAACATTTATATAGCATAAGTGTTAGTTAACTCCTTTTTCACCACCTTCTTCATAAAGAGGGGACTGGGGACAAAGAGGGAAAAAAGTACAAGAGGATAAATTGAGGGAAAGGAAATGAATATGAATGGGATGAATTCACCTATAAAATGGAAGGTTAGTGGGTGGACTAGAAAACAGAATCCAGCAATACAATGTGTACAAGAAACACAAATGAAACATAAAAATTCTCTCAGAGTTAAAATGATATGCTATACCAAAACCTATTATACTTTAGCTAAACTCAAAAAGTTTTGCTTTCAGACAAAGTTACAGTAAAAATAATCACTATAAAAAGGGAATAGAGAAACTACATTATTCCCAAAGATATCACAGATAATAAATCAGTATCAATAGTTCATATGGCATCTAAATACTCAAAAAAAAAATCAATTCAATTGCAGGGAGAAATAGACAGTAAAAATATAATAGTGGAAGACCTCAGTATATCCCTTTTTGGCCTAGACAAATCTAAACAAAAGGATGAAAAAGAAGTCAAGGGTCTGAATAAAAATCTGAAAAATTAGAGACAATAGATTTCTAGTTATTACTGAATGGGAACATAAAGGGAATGAGAGTATATTTCTCAGGTATGCATGGCACCTTTATAGAAAATGACCATTTATTAGGGTAAAAACCTCACAAACAAATGCAGAAAAGCTGAAATGTGAAACATACTTCACTGACAACAATAGAATAAAAATCATATTTGATTAGAATGAAATTTGAACTAAGAGTTGAAAATAATTGGAAATAACGTAATTCTCAAGAACTGGTGGGATAAAAATCATAAAAACAATAGAAAATTTCATGAAAAATGCCAATGAGACAAAATGCCAAAACTGATATGGTACAGCTAAGGAAATCTTAAGGGGAAATTTTGTATCTCTAAATATTTTCCTTAATAAAAGAGAGAAAAACCAAATCAAACAAACTAGAGATGCCACTAAAAAAAATTACAAAAGCAAATTACTTACCCCTGCCAACTAAACATCAAAGTAGAAATTCTGAAAGTAAAAGAAAAGATTATGAAAATTGAAAGCAAAAATACCCATTGAACTGATAAATACAATGCACTATTTTCTGGGAAAAAAACACTAATGAACAGTTAGTCTGATTAAGGAAGAGAGGAAAATCAAATTGCTGACATAAAACTGAAAAAGGAATATTTATGGTGTAAGAGGAAATTAAAAAAAATGGTAAGAAAAAATTTTGTCCAATTATCTTCCAATAAAACCAGCAACTTACATGGAATAGATGAATACTTACAAAGATGTAAAATAACAAGATTAACAGATAATATACATTATTAAAAACCCAGTATTAAAAAATTAGTTGAACAAGATAAAAATGAACCCTCAAAGAAAAATTCCAGAACCATACAAGTCAATTCTATCAAACTTAAAAATGAGAAAAGACCCTTCCAAACTCTTTCTGTGATACAAATATGGTATTGACACTAAACCAGAGAAAGATAAAATAGAAAAATAGAATGGTAGACTTTTAAATGCTTACATTAAGTGAAGGGAAACAACATATGCATATTATATCCCCCATTTGAATATGAGCTCCTTGAGGGAAGGGACCCTGGATTTTTTGCCTTTCTTTTGGTTCCCAGAACTTTACTACAGTGTACAGAACATAGTAAAAAGTAGTAATCATGTAGAATATATAAATACAAAATCTATACCAAAAGTAAATATCAATTCTCTTCTCATGCTAGTCCATCCACCATTCAGCAACCTAAGTAATCCTACTAAAGGGCAGATCTGACCATGTCACTCCCCTAATTTAATAAATGGCAGTGCTTCCCTATTACTTTCAGGATAAAATATAAAATCCTCTCTTTGACTTTTAAAGTCCTTCATAACCTGCCCTCTTCCTATCTTTTCAGTCTTCTTACACTTTACTCTCCTCGGTGTGATCTATAATCCAACAACACTAACCTTTTTGCAATTCTTCAAATTCAACATGTCATCTTCCAACTCTATGCTTTTTCACTAGTTGGTGTCTATGTCTGCAATTTCCCCCTCGTCATCTCCACCTCTCTGGCTTTTTTCAATTTAACTCACATCTCACCTTCTGCAAAAGGTCTTTCCAGATTCCATTCCCCTACCCTAGTACCTTCTTTCTAAGATTACCTTCTAGTTACCCTGTATATTACTTATCTGTAAATGAACACATACTGACAGTGTAATGATGGGTAACTCATTTAGTTTCTAAATACTTTAGATAGTAACTCTCCTGAGACTATTAATTGCAGAGTGGAAGCCTACATTGAGAGAGGAGGTTTCCCTCTACCATTTGGGAGTTCCCCATATTAATGAAATTACAGATATAGCCCCTCTTCCTATCTATCCCTTACATATGCAAGACCTTTGGGCTACAAGGATTAAAAAAAACACAGTCCCTACTCTCATGGAGTCATTCATGATGCTATTATTAAATGAACAATTCCCTCAGTTTTTATTGTCTACAAATTTATCAAACATTAACTAGTACTTGTAAGTGTGTAGTTCTAATTCTTAAGTCTCTATTCTTTTACCTTATCTGACTTTTCCATGTAGTCTAGATAGTTTTAATGAGTTAAAATAACATGTTTTACAACCTGGAGGGGAAAGTCCATTTTCATCCACTTTTACTTTTAAAATTAACCCTTCATATTCTTGCCCTTCAGTTCCATCTAATATTCATCATGTTTAAATTTAGTTTTACAAATAAACTAATTGACATTTTTGTTGATTTTACATTAAAGCTATGCATTAATTTAATTAATATTATCACTTTTGCTACACTGATATAATATTTATTTAGATCTTTTACACCTAAAATGCTATAGTTTTATAAATATTATAATAGTTTCACTTAAATTTCATGTATGATTTTATATGTGTTGTCATAAATGAGACCAATTTTTAAATGATATTTTCTTGTTTTTGGTAGTACAAAGAAAGTGCTTTTTATATACATATGATCCTTAAAACAACTTCTGAGGATGGAAGGCTAGGTCTTATCCCTAATTTATAGATGGAGAAACTGAGTCCCCAAAGAATCTCTTTCCTAATATTACCTAGTGATTGAGTGACAAATCTAGACCTATAGCCCAGATCTTCTAATCAAAAAAAAAAGTCCAGGACCTTTTGAAAGAGTTTAGTGTCTTTTGAAAGAAAAAGTATAGAGGAAACCAAGGTTCAAATCTGGCCTCTGATACTTAACAGCTATGTGATCATGGAGAAGTCACTTAAAATCCATGAATCTCAGTTTCCTCATCTGTAAAATGGTGGTACTAATACCTGTGACACTTTTGTCATAAAGTTTTTTTGAGAGTCAAATGAGATAGTATATGTATATGTACATATACATATAAATAGATAAATAGATGTAAAAAATGGTACATATAATAGCATTTTGCAAACTTAAAGCTCTGTGTAAATGTTAGTTATTATCATTTCCATTCAATATTCTTACTTGCCCTCAAACATCAGAATAAATAATGATTGACCAATCCTGTCAATGGTCTATTTAAAATAAAACCAATCTGTAGAAAATGAGACTTATTAAAGGTTTATAATATATCTTGGAGCGTTGCCTCCCTGTAGAGAGACAGATCTATCAGATAGTGACTTATTACATGGTAGTATGGCTGTGATACAATTCATTAATAATATCTAGCATTAGTGTTGATTACTAACTAGGAAAAAGAGGACCATTAAGTCATAGGATCATGGATTTAGTGACTGAAAGCACCTTAGGGACAATCTCATCCAATCCCCTTGTCTTACAGATGAGGAAACTGAAGCCCGAGTTCAATTACTTGTTCAAGGTCATACAATTAGGAAAGGGACCATGGTGGTGCTTGAACATGAGTTCTCTGAATCCAGAAATAGTGTTCTATCAAAAAAAAATGCAGAGGGTTACTCTTAGATTAGGTCTAATTCTCTGCAGCAGACTGGAGAGTAGAATGATTCAGAGAGGCCTTTTTGCTGTGGCTTATGTGATTGACCTGTTGAAGGAGTTAGCGCAACTGGATTGCCTGTCATTCATGCAACTCTGTAAATAGGTAACTTAGACTCCTATGAATTTATTGGTCATATTTTGTTCAGTCCCAGTCCCATCTCATGTTCTCACTGCTTCCTCACCCAAATATTGCTTGTCCTGTATTTGTCTCTGGACATTGTGAGGCCTGTGCTTTGAGGATATGGGACTTAGGATCCTTGTTGGAACCTAAATGAATCCTCCACTGAGTCAAGGGACTGAAATTGAACTCTTCATTTTCCTATAAATAGGGAGAGTCAGTTGAATTTTTGCTACTGGAGCTCAGGTAATAGAGATCAGAGAAACTAATGGGGAAAAAACATTTTATCCTCACTTTTAAAATAAATTTTTATTTCTGTCACGACAGATAAAATTCGTGAAGAAATTGACCGTGTGATTGGCCAAAACCGAAGTCCCTGCTTGAAGGACAGAAACAGTATGCCTTACACAGATGCTGTAATCCATGAGATACAAAGATATATTGATCTGGTCCCAGCCAATCTGACCCATTCAGTGACACGAGATACTAAGTTCAGACAATACCTAATCCCTAAGGTCAGAAATGTTTCTCCCAGCAGTATAACATGAATTTATGTTGTCTAATATCAACTGGACACTCACTGTAGCAAAGCAATCATTCCACTCCTCCCTAATTGATTTGTAGCATGAATGCTACAGGTGGGCTAGCTCCATTTCCCCTTGGGGTTCCAGGGTACACTGAGGGACTTGGAGTAGCTTTTTCCTTACTGCCACATATTTGAGCCCCACACTGCTTGTGTTTCCCCCATTGTTAGAGGCCATTGTCTAGCAGCTTAGTTCCGTTTAACTACTTAATACCAATCGACTCTTTAAAAATATATTTTCTTTAAAGACATAGCCAGAACAAACATTTTCCTAGTGCCTATAGGGCATACTCTCCCCTACATCACTTCAATCTCTGGTGGATATAGGATCAACTTCACTCAGTTCCTACATAGAATCATTCCCACTACATTCACCTCCAAAGGCTGCATCTCTGCCATATGTATCCTTGTCTCAGCTTCCAATGAGTGGAGAACTATGAAGTTTTCTTTGCTCCTTGAGGCACTGATGCTGGCCTGACTCAGCCTGGGCTCTCACTCCTGCATTCCTGTGACTTGCTCTCCCAACTTTTCAAAACTCTCAAAGTCAATACTCCTCCCTTCATCAAATGCCATGAGTGAAGGAGTCCCTGAGATCACCAGAAATAAATGGGACAGAAAGACTGTAGGTGAAGCTGACAGTCCATTTAAATGTTGCCACAGTCGATCTGAGAAGTCTCCTCTTCAGCATGTGGTTAGACAACCAGAACCACTTACAGAATACCTGCACGTGCTCCTTAGCCTGTTTCTCCAAGACACTTCCCTTAAACATCATTACAATTCTGGAGGCTGCTCCATAGCATCTTCCACATGGATAGTTGCTGTCCTGTCCATAGCATCCTCCAAATGTAGATGCCATCTGAAGAATTCTGAGGAAGCATCAGACTCCCATTATAGATTTATTATCCTAGTCTTCATAGTGGCTGTTCCAAGCCTTATCTTTAAGATTCCCAAGGCATCCTCTCTCTCCATCCCATGAGCTGGGGTCCTCACCTCATACTTCATTAAAAAAAATTGATTGCATTTTTCATGAGCTTTCCTTTCTCTCCTCCTCCTCATCTTACATCATTCAGATATCTTCCCCTACTACCTCATCCTTCACTTTTCTCTGATAAAGAGATTGCCTTTTTCCTTACCAAAGCAAACCCCTCTACATGCTCCCTTGAGCCCATCCCATACAGTTGTCTGTAACAGATTTCTCCTACTATCATTCCAACTCTCTCTCATCTCCAGTCTTTCCCTAGATACCAGTTCCTTCCCTGATATCTCTAGAAATGTCCACGTCTCCTCCATCTTTAAAAAATCCTCACTTCATCTTACCAACCCTGTTAGCTAATGCTAAAGACTTTGATCAATCAATCAAAAAACATTTAAGTATCTACTACGTCCCAGACACTTTACTCAGTGCTGATGATCCAAACAGAGGCAAAAGATAATCCTTGCCTTCAAGAAACTAAAAATCAAGTGACAATCTTTGGTGGCAAGAATTTTCTTTTCTGGGTCCTTAGTAGCTGTAGTTTCTGACAAAGTGAGGATTAAACCACTTACAGAAGGAACTGACAGTTATTTCCAAAATTGGTTCACCTCCCCCCTCCCATGGAAAATGGCTCTGGGAGCCAGGCTGGTAGAAACTTGGTGGCCTGAGAGACACTGCTATTTTTGGGATTCTTAGGCTGACATGATAGTCAGTAGATAAAGTTGATAATGGTGGGAGTGGTGGACTTCTTCTCTATAATGGTTGATCCCCTGATGATGACTGTGGAGATTGAGTTGAAATAGGATATCAGTGGTCTGAGAGGCACCATAATTTGCTAGGTTTTTGGACCCTGGGACACTGCCTGTTCCCACTGGGGTTCAAAGGTAGGTTTCAGTTTGTCTTGCTTGATATATTCTCTCTCTCTCTCATTCCATATGAAGATCAGCTGAAGAAACCTGGGATCTTGGCCTAGAAAAAAGAGGATCTATGAAGGACAGGATAGGTGACTTCAAATGTTCAAGGGGCTGTCATTTGGAAGAGAGACTAGACTTATTTTGCCTGGACCCAGAAGACAGAACTGGGAATAATGGATGAAAACTGAAAACAAGCAAATTTAGGAGAAAATTTCCTCACACTTTGTGCCTCCCCATAATGGAACAGACTGTGTCAGGAGAGGCCCCTTACTGGAGATAATCAGCCAATAGTCACTTGTTGAGTGTGAAGTAGAGTGACCTTTTTTCAGAACTGAAGTTGGACTGGAACTAGATGGCCTCTGAAATTGCTTCCAGCTTGATATGTCTTCAGTTCTGTGACTCAGTAGATCCATCAGCTTTTTCAGTACTGGAAGGTGTCTTTCATCTGTGCCTGGTGACTTGAACTCAACAAGAGTAGCTCTAGGTGTTCTCTTACTATCTCCTTTCTTATATTGGCCAACAAAGCTCTATTAATCATAATTATACTTTGTGTCTTTTCCAGTACAAAGATCATTGTCCTTGTAAAAGAAAATTCAAGCTAAATGAGAATTGAGAACTTCTGCTTCATTTCTTCTTATTATTATCATTGTTAGAGAATTGTTTCAGTCATGTCTGACTTTTTGTGACTCCATTTGGGGTTTTCTTGGCAAAAATATTGCAGTAATTTGCCATTTCCTTCTCCAGTTCATTTTATAGATAAGAAACTAAGGCATACAGGGTTAAGAGACTTGCCCAGGGTCAAACAGCTAGGGTGTGTGAGGCCAGACTTGAACTCACAAAGATGAATCTTCCTGTCTTCAGACCCAGTACACTGTGCCACCCAGCTGCTTTCCATCACTTGTTGCCTGTTACTATTATCATCAATCCATTCAGAGCAGTCTCATTCTTTCTTTGACCTCCTTTCTCCCACACTATAGCTAACACTACCAAACCTTTTGTTGTTCTTTGTTGCCATCACCAACATCAACTCATTCTAAGATTTACCACTGCAAGGTGGCATTGATGTCACTCCATTTGGCTAGGGTGCCTTGGATAGGTATAAACACTTCTGATTGAATCAAAGAATCTGAACTGAGTGTGAACAGGTGATCTGTACACCTCCTTGAATCAATCAAAGCCATTATGTGAGAGTCTGGGTTGTACCCTAAGTGATTTTTTTTTGTCTAGGCAATGGGTTTAAGTGACTTGCCCAGGGTCACACAGCTAGTAAGCCTAAGCAATTTCAATAAAAAAAGAGAAGTTGTCTTATAATTGGGGAAAACCATGCTAAGCCTTTGTACTGGACAGGTTGGAGCAAGCATGGAACATAGGCAGGATTGAGCTATGGTGGACATAGGAGATATTAAGGAGAGTTGTTGACTCTATAAGAATCTTGCAAGGGAAGACCCAGGGAAGTCCCCCCCACCCAAAAAAGTCAGCTCTTTCCACACTGCACTAAACATCTCAGCAGATGAGCTAAATCAGGTTGAGCTTAACCAATGGACTTCAAATCTGTCAGTGGGGTAGTGGGTTTTCTACCCCAATTATGTGAAATTGTGAATTGGTAAATGAGGAAATTTGTTTCAGCAGCCATGAAGGCAGCAGAAGCAGGCACTGGGGAGCACTTCGAGCTTAGTCAGACATCAAAGATGACAAGGTCATCCACTGTACCCTGGGCCATCTTTAGTCATCTTGGCTTTTATCCTGCCACTGGACTTCCGTGACTCTGGAGAGTGAGTGAGGCTAATGACTTAGTGCAACTCTGTCTCACTTAAATCCAATTCACACGCAAGACATCACCTGTGATGTCATTGGTTCTCCTTGAAAACGGATGGGCAACAACAGATATCATTAATACAATTTACTTTATGGTTTCAAAAATGTTTCAGTTAATGAATTTTATCTTAGCCACAAAGAGGCCAAGGGATGTCTAGTGATAGATGTAAGTCTAAAGATGGGCAGAGAGCCCTGCCTTTTATTAAGTATTAGAGATTTTCCTAATTTGTGGCTCAGAACAATCGTGACTGAATCCTGAACTTTCCATCCAAAATAAACTCCTTAAAGACAAGAGGAGCGAACCAGGTGGACCAAAGGGGCCATTTTCTTTTCTGCTTTGCTTATAATAAAGTCATTTTTGCCACAGGCTGTTTAACCCCTCTTGCCATTCTTATAGGACCCTGACAAGCTTCCTTTACCTGTTTTTTTAATTCCATCTTTTGTTTATTTCTTTTGACAATCTAAGATGTTTGTTGAGTTCCCTGAGTGGATATCTACACTGATACTTTCAGGTAACTCTCTTTTTTCCCAACAGAAAATACTGTTTTTCTTTATACTACCAGGATTTCATTTTTGAGAGCTTCCTACCCCTCTTTGATTAACTTCCTTTCTAGATTTTTAATTAGTGGGAGCTTACTTATTCTTCCTCTGAGGTGTTTGAAATCTGCTCTCCTATAATCTAGGATTTTTGTTAAATTATACCTGGCTTTTATGTTTATCACTTTCATTTGTGAATATATAACTCTTCTCACTTCCCTGTAAATATCTCTTGTAATAAAGTATAGAAAGGAAAGAAAAAAAAACCAGTTCAGTAAAACTATCTAACACTTCAAACAGATATGATATATAAGTAATATTCTATAACCATTATCCTCCATTTCTGCAAAGAAGGGAGGAAGGTGCATTTTTCATTTCTTTTTTTTTCAGGGCCAATGTTCATAAGTACAATTATACACCATTCAGGTTAATTTTTTTCCACCACCCTCCTCCCTTTAAAGACAATCTGAGGCCCACAGATATGAAAGGACTTGCCCAAGGGGTCATAGGTAGCAAATATCACAGCTTAGATTAGAACTCTTATTTGTATTGGTCACAGAGGGAAAGGATGTACTTGGCTTTTCTCTCCTCTATTACATTCTAAGATAAGATAATAACATTTTGCCCAAGGTTATCATAACATCATCATTTCCATCTCAGCAACCAGTTCTTCCTTGTTGGGGAAAATCAGGTCTAGAATGGATTTCTTCCATGTTGCTTCTACCTTTTTCAGGATGAAATTTTTTTAAGGTATGTACTGTACAGGCATTTTACCCCAGTTCACCAGGAAAAGCTCAAAGAGGGGCTACAGGGAAGTGTTGTTTTTAAGTCTGCTATGTCACTAAGTTAACTAGCAGTCAGGGCCAACTGAGGGTTGTCCAGTCTGCCACCAATCAACGTCTTGTTTGACAAGATAGATGTAGGGAGTATACAGAAGTCCTAAGTCTAGGATACACACGAGGAGTTCAGGGTGCAGATAATGAAGTAGGGAGTTGGTATAGATAGTCCAGTGGGTACGAATATCTTAATGAGCCAGTACAAAGCCAGTTCAAACAAATAATTCCTACAGGTGTAGTTTGTAACTGTTCCAGGGAGAGAGATAAGTGTGTTGCTGAGGCCCACACATGAGTAACTGCTAGGCATAGTGTCCTTGGGCTGGGGAGAAACTGCCAGGGATAGTGTTTCTGAAGCTAGGGAGAAATATAGTCTTGAAGTTGGGGTCTCAGTACAAGCACCCAAGCACTCCATCAGTCTCTTTCAGTGTTGACATTCTAAGGTTCTTATTTTCTAATTCTGTTTATCTATATCTCTTCATTTTAGGGCACTACCATAATACCATTACTGACTTCTGTTCTATATGACAAGGAAGAGTTCCCCAATCCAGACCAGTTTGACCCAGGGCACTTCCTGGATGAAAGTGGCAACTTTAAGAAGAGTGACTATTTCATGCCCTTTTCAACAGGTAAGACAAATTCATCAAAATGTGTGCATCAAAGATGGATCAACAGCTCAGACAACATGGGTTCTAGTCTAGCTTTGCTACTTATTACTTGGGTGTCCTTGTTCAAGTCAATTCACCACTCTGGGATTCAGTTACATCATATGTCAAAGAAGGGGTTCAAATAGCTTATCACTTAAGGTCTCTTGCAGTAAGAAATCCTAGGAGGGTGGCAAGAGTTCTTTACCTTTTCAATGCTCCTTGGATCATACATCATCAATTGAAGGAACACTTCAATTGATTGGATTGGGGGCAGTTGTCCTTGATAGTACTGCTGGAGTGGAAAAGAGACAGGCCACGAGTTGGCACCAAGTGGGAAATTGATTCCAGACCTGTATTGCCTGTCCAGAATTGTGACTGAAGCTGCCCGAAGGGGAATTGAGCATCATTGCCCTATCACCCTCTCTCACCACAATTATTAAAATGAACTTGTCTTTGTGGAGTTGAGCGGTTGGCTTTGTTCTCTCCTTGGTAGCAATTATTCCTTTCTCCTGAGTTTCAGGAAGACTGATTTACAGGGAGAGAGCTCCGCTTCTACAGAGCAGGATAAAGGCTTTGAAAGAACTAAGAAAGCATTTACTCCTATCCCTGCACTGAAAGTGGGCCAAAGGGCTAAGTCTCCCCTGGGGTAAGGAGTGATGGGTTGTGTGGGTAACAGAGAGGGAAGGAAAGAATAGTCTTCTAGGAATACCACTGGGTAGTAGAGGGGAACCTATAAATCAGAAGGAGTGGTCTAGATTAGAGGTGTCAAATAACACTGCTCTCAAGATTCTTGGGTGCAGCAGGAACCAGATTAAAATATAATTAGGAAATATGTAACAAAATAAACAAAAACACAATACAATAGAACATAGATAATATGAACATGGGGTTTCCTAAGCCAATATGTAACCACAGAATCCTTATATATGGTTTAGTGGCCCCTGTTTCTATTTAATTGCAAGACCACTGTTCTAGATGACTTATAACTCCACAAATAGCAAATCTTTTCATTTCTTTCTTTCAGGAAAACGGATATGTGTTGGTGAGGGCCTGGCTCGGATGGAATTATTTCTGTTTTTTACTACCATCTTACAGAATTTTACCTTGAAATCTCCAATTGACCCAAAAGATATTGACACCGCCCCAGTTGCCAGTGGGTTTGGCAAAATACCCCCTTCCTTTAAGCTTTGCTTCCTCCCTTCCCAAAACATGTGAGACACTCCAACTTCTCTAGTGTCTAGGAACATGCTACCCTCATTCCCTGGCCTGGCAATGAAAGTCCTCTATGATTTCAATCCAAACTACCTTCCTAACTCAGTCTCCTATTGCTTCCTCTGACTTTTGACAAAATGGATTCCCTGCTCCCCCTAACCCCACCCAACATTCTCCAGGCACTCCCTGTGCCTGAAATATTTCTTTTACTGAACTCTACTGGTTAAACTCTTACCCACTTTCAAATCACAATTCAGATGCCATATCCCCATTTACTTATCACCATACAAATTAAAGCTCAATTATATACCCATCCATTTGTTCTTGTTTCATGTATGCTGTAGTTTTTTTCATCTTGTATCCCTAATTACATTGTAAGCCCCTTATTGGCAGGGAAAGTGTTTTACACTTGTATATAATTATCCACCAGCAATGAGTAAGGAGCAATCCTATTCCTCAAACGCCCCAACTGATACCCCCTCAGCACATACACTACCTTGCTGCCAACTCAGTAGTTCACTATATTCACCTGCCTAATCTAATTACAGAATAGAAGCATGCGTATTAAAAGCATAGGACACATTCAGGGGACACTTACTAAAGAGTTGAATCATTTAATGAGGATAGAAGAGAAAAAATTGACTGATATTCAATCCCTATCAACCACATAGCTGCCCCCTGGGACTTAGGATTCTTGACCCTGGGGTATGCAGGAATATTGTTCAAGTGGGAAATCCAATTCCCTCCTGGTCAGAGTTCATCATAGGGAAGACCTGTGAACCTTTTGTTGTCCATGTACATCACAGTCTCCCTAGAGGAAGAAGGGGCCATGAGTACAATTGCTAGTTTTATATTACTAGCTGCAATAGTGATTGACTAGTCTCTATGGTGCTCGCAATCCTGAGTTGCACACACTTAATCTAACTCAATAGTAGGCATGGGTGTGCTACACAGAACAATTTCTAACAGGGGTTCCTAATATGAACTTAGTCTTCTAATATTTTGAAAACTATGTCAATATAACTGGTTTATGTTATAATCTGATGTATTTCATGGGTTTAAAAACATTATTTGGAGGAGTCTATTGGCTTTGTGAGACTGCGAAAAGATTTTATTACATGAAAAGATTAAAATCTCTGCTCTAGATCGGTGGAAAATCAATCTCTTGTCTTTGGAAAATCAGGTGGACACATATTGCTAGGTTTTGTGAATAAATTATAAGAGATACATATGTGTATATATATGCCATATATATGTATGTGTTTGTGTGTGTGCATATACACACATATGTACATGTATACGTACACACACATACATACATACATTAGATGATGGCATATAGAAGCCTACTAGAGGATAGAATATGCAGATAGATAATATAGAAATCTTGTTAAAAACAGGGTTGCCAACAATGCTCCTCCTTAGTACTTATACAATCTCCTAACTGCACTCATTTGGTTCAAATCAGAATTTAAATATGTTGTCTATTGTTCTAAATAGAGTCACTATTCACTTCCAATTATTCAGGGGTGTCAGTAGGCCAGTCCTTGGCTTAAGTACATGACAGCCTCACCAATACAGTCTCCAACTTTAAGGTGTGCTCCAAACTTTAAACCACCTGAAGGAGACAGCTAGTAACGAAAGCCTGTATTAGGGTAGTAGTAGTAGAGAAGGGAGGACAGATAAAAAGCTTTCATAATTTGGTATTAGGGATCATGCCAGGGGCAGCTAGGTAGCACAGTAGATAGAGAACCAGTCTTGGAATCAGGAGGACCTGAGTTCAAATCCGGCCTTAGACACATAACGCTTAATAGCTGTGTGACTCTGACCAAGTCACTTAACCCCAAATGCCTCACCAAAAAAAAAAAAGAAAAAAAAAGAAAAGGGATCATGCCATATCAGAATCTATTAAAAGAACTACAGACATTTAACCTGGGGAATAGAAGATTCAGACTGATTGGGAGTCACCAACTTTTGAAGCACTGTCATTTGGAAGAGAAATTGCATTTATCCTGGCTAGTCTCAGAGGACAGAACCAGGAACAATGGGTAGAAATTGCAGAGGGTCATATGACTTGAAGAAGGGGAAAACCTCTTAACTAGGCCTGCTAATTAAACGAGAGCTATCCAACAGTGGAATAAACTGTTTCTTGAGCTAATACATTACTCTTTACTAGAAACCTTCAGGCAATGGCTAAATGTTGGAGATAGGATTTTTATTTTGTTTTTGATTCTCTTTCCATTAAAATCAAATCTTTAAACTTGAAAGGACATAATGTGAATGACTAATAAGGAGCTGATGCCTGAGCTAAGTAGAGTGACATTTAAAGAGCTCTTAGTTCTTCTATTTAATTCAATTCAACATGCCTTTATTAAGTGTCTATATGTGCCAGGTCACGTGTGAGGCCAGATGCATACAGAGATAAAACCAAAATAGTCTCATTCCTCAAGGAATTTAAATTGTTCTGGGGCTGAGGAGAACACATACACAGGACAGGATATACAAAATGTAGGCAATGCATTCTTAAGGGTTTGGCTGGGATGGTGAATGTGTGAGGCAGAGTAATAGATTCCAAAATAATTTTAATCTGGAAAGATAGAATGAAGTCAGATTACAAAGGACTTTTTGTGCCAAACATAGGAGTTGGTATTTTGTCTTAGAAGTAACAGAGAGATTCGAAACATTCTTAGCAGAGGACAAACATCGGACTCATGTTTTGGGAATGCCAATTTGGAGAATGGGTTGGAGAGAAGAAAAAACTTAATGTAGAGAGACTGATTTGGATGTTATTGGAATAGTCCATGTGAGAGATGATGAGGGTTTGGTTTGGGATGGCAACCTTGCCAGCAAAGAGAAAGGGCTGGATAAAGGAGGTGACAAGATTATTACCAGGCTCCAAAAGGAGTAGCAGATATGATTGCTGAGCTACTGTTAGAAATCTTTGAAAGATCAAGAATAGGAAAAGTAGTAAGTGCTGGGGAAGGGAAAACATTCGAAATTTCAGAAAAGTGTAGAGAATGGCTTTTGCAATCTAAAGTCCAGCAAGCATGACTTTGATTTCTAACAAAAACCTTTATGCTTTGCTTTTCTCTCTCCCTGCCTCCCTCTCATTTCTAAAAGGTATTGTTAGTGAACATTTATAAAAGAAAGAAGTGATCACAAGGAGCCAGCCTAGCTTCTTCAAGAATAGAACTTTTGAAAACTAAAAATAAATTAATTGATTAAAAAAAAGAATAGATCTTGCCAGATTATTTCTTTTATTAACTGGGTCACTGCACTAGTACACTGGGAGAATGCTGTAGCTACAATTAACCTAAATTTAAGGAAAGAATTTGACAAAATCTCTTTTTTTTAAAAAAAATATTTATTTTTTTTTGGTCTTAAACATACCCATTTATTTAACAATAAAGCAAAAAAAAGATATTGTAGATACTAATATCTTAAACCAAATGCATAAATAATAAAGTATACCATAATTTATTTTATTTTAAATTTATGGATAAAATATTGCTATTCTTGTGGAAAAGATGCTGAATGTGGTGGCACACAGCTGTAATCCCTGCTACCAGCAGGCTAAAACTGGTGGACTGCCTGAATTTAGGAGTGCTGAGATATAGTAGTCACTGAGGAGGCAGCGAGGTGGCACAGGGGATAGAGCACTAGGCCAAGGGTCAGGAAGATCTGAGTTCAAATTTGACCTCAGACACTTACTAGCTGTGTGACCTTGGGCAAGTCACTTAACCTCTATTTGCCTTAATCCACTGGAAAAAGAAATGGCAAACCACTCCAGTTATCTTTGCCAAGAAAACCCTAGGGGGCAGCTCGGTGATGCAATAAATAGAGCATAGGCCCTGGAGTCAGGAGGACCTGAGTTCAAATCAGGCCTCAGACACTTGACACTTACTATCTGTGTGACCCTGGGCAAGTCACTTAACCTCATTGCCTAGCAAAAAGAAAAGAAACAGGGAAAAAAAGTAGAAAAGAAAACCCTATGAATAGTATGCCCTTCCCTCAAACTATGAGAAGGGCTGTGGTAAGGTGAAGTGATCAGTCTAATTCTCTTTCACCTAGGAGGCAGAAACATTGCAGCAAAGAGGCTGATGTTGGTTACATTTGGGAGGACCCTTCCACAAAGAGATCTAATCCTCTGGTCTAGGGCAAGCAGCCAGTAGCTCCATATGCATTTATTAGGCACCAATTGTTTGCCAGGTGCTAGAGATACAAAAAGAGAGGATTTAGGAGAGGTACAGACCTGAGAATGTCTGAACCAATTGCTTTGAGCTTGCTTTGGGGGTGACAGACTGTTTGAACATCTGGATTGGAAACAATCAATGGACAAGAGAAATCCTGATGGTGTGCCTTTTGGCCAGAATAATTAAATGGACTGGCCTCCAAAACTCAACATTTGGATGCCCCCAGGATCTTACTTCATAGGCATGTATGGCAAAATAGTTCTTTTAATTCTTGGGGACAGAATATATTGAAATAAATAACTTTGACCATGAAAAATTGAAAAAAACATGAAGGAGACCCAAAAAATACTGAAGAAAATAACACCTTAAAAAATAGCCTAACCCAAATGGCAAAAGAGGTTCAAAAAACCAATGAGGAGAAGATTGCCCTAAAAAGCAAAATTAGCCAAATGGAAAAGGAAGTCCAAAGGCTTACTGAAGAAAATACTTCCTTAAAAATTAGAATAGAGCAATTGGAAACTAGTGACTTTATGAGAAATCAAGACACTGTAAAACATATCCAAAAGAATGAAAAATTAGAAAACAATGTGAAATATCTCATTGGAAAAACAACTGACCTGGACAATAGATCCAGGAGAGAGAATTTAAAAATTATTGGACTATCAGAAAGCCATGATCAAAAAAAGAGCCTAGACATCATCTTTCAAGAAATTATCAAGGAAAACTGTCCTGATATTTTAGAACCAGAGGGCAAAATAGAAATGGAAAGAATCCACCAATCTCCTCCTGAAAGAGATCCCCAAAGGAAAACTCCTAGGAATATTGTAGCTAAATTCCAGAGTTCCCAGGTCAAGGAGAAAATATTACAAGCAGCCAAAAAGAAACAATTCATGTATTTTGGAAACACAATCAGAATAACACAAGATTTAGCTGCTTTTATATTAAGGGACCGCAGGGCATGGAATATAATATTCCAGAGAGCAAAGGAGATAGGATTACAACCAAGAATCACCTACCCAGCAAAACTGAGTATAATCCTGCAGGGGAAAAAATGGTCATTCAGTGAAATAGAGGACTTTCAAGCATTCTTGATGAAAAGACCAGAGTTGAATAGAAAATTTGATTTTCAAATACAAGACTCAAGAGAAGCATGAAGAGGTAAACAGGAAAGAGAAAATCATAAGAGACTTATTAAGGTTGAACTGTTTACATTCCTGCATGGAAAAATGAAATTTATAACTCATGGGACCTTTGTCAGTATTAGGATAGTTGGAGGGGAAAAAATTATATGTATGTGTATATATAGATATAGATAGATAGAAAGAGGGCACAGGGTGAGTTGAAAATGAAGGGGTCATATCTGAAGAATAAAATTAAGGGATGAGAGAGGAATATACTAAGAGAAGGAGAAAGGGAGAGGTGGAACGGAGTAAATTATCCCACAAAAAAAAAAAAAACCAGAAAAGAAAAAGCTCTTACAGTGGAGGGGAAATGGGGGAAGGTGAGAGGGAATGAGTGAATCTTATTCTCATAGGATTTGACTTAAGGAGGGAATAACATACACACTCAATTGGGTGTGGAAATCTGTCTTACCCTACAGGAAAATGGGGGGGGGGAAGGGGACAAGAAAGTAGAGCAATGATAAGAGAGGAGGGCAGATTGGGACATCAGAAGCAAATACTTCTGAGGAGGGACAGGGTCAAAAGAAAGAATAGAATAAATGGGTGGGCAGAATAGGATTAAGGGAAATAGAGTTAGTTTTCACAGCATGTCTACTATGGAAGTGTTTTGCATAACTGCACATGTGTAACCTATATTTAGTTGCTTGCCTTATCAATGAGTGTGGGTGGGGAGGGAGGAAGGGAGAAAATTTGGAACCCAAAGTTTTAAAAACACATGTTTAAAAAAAATGTTTTCACATGCAACTGGGAAATAAGAAATACAGGAAATGGGGTACAGAAATTCATCCTGCCCTACAGGAAAATTGAAGGGGAAGGGGATAATTGAAGGGGGTGAGAGATAGAAGGGAAGGCAGACTAGGGGAAGGGGTATTTAGAATGCATGCCATCTTGGGGTGGGGGGAGGGGCAAGATGGGGTGAAAATTTGGGACTCAAAGTCTTGTGGAAGTAAAAGTTGAAAACAAAAAAGTAAATAAAAATTACCATAAAAAATAAAATAAAATGAGCTGGAGAAGTAAAACAACAACAAAAAAAGTGACAACTTACTGCCCTTATGGTATGATTGGACAAAAGGCACAAAACAAATCTGGCAATGACCATAATACCAGATCAATAGGGGGAGTTTGCACAAGTGTCTAGTAAGTACAATATGTAGCCACATCATGGAAATACAAGTCATATTTAGGGATAGTCAAATCTGGATCAATTGCAACTGATGACACACTACCAAACCTCCTTAAGGGGCACATTGTTGCTGTTCATTCATTTTCTGTCATGTCTGATGCTTCATGACCCCATTTGTTTTAGGGTTTGGTTTTTTGGGGATTTTGGCCAAGATACTAGAGTGGTTTGCCATTTCCTCCTACAGAGATGAGGAAATTGAAGCAAACAAGGTTAAGTGACTTGCCCAGAGTCACAAAGCTAGTAAGTATCTGAGGCCAGATTTGAACTCAGGAAAAGGAGTTTTCCTGACTTCAAGACTGGCACTCTACCCACTGTACCACCTGGATAACACTAAAAGGTACATTAATCTTCTTTAAAATAAACATATTCTATGACTAGTATTGATAGACTTAACCCTTCTCAGCAACACAAGGATCTAAGACATCTCCAAAGGCCTTGTGATGGAGCATGCTATCCACATCCAAAGAAAGAACTACGGAGTTGGAATGCAGATCAAAGCAAGCTATTTGCTATTTTTTTCTTCTGTTGTGTTTTGTTTCCTTTTTCTGGTGGTTCCTCCTATTGGTTCTAATTCTTACTTACAACTTCACTAACATGAAAATGTTTAATAGGAATGTATATGTATAGCCTATATCAGATTGTGTGCTGTCTTGGGGAGAGATGGGGGGAGAGAGGGGGAGAAAAATTTAAAACTCAAAAGTTTATGGAAGTGATTGTTGATAAAGCAAAATAAATTAATAAAAAATTAAAAAAAAAACAAAAAAAATTGAAAAAACAAAAACAGGATCATGAAGAGTTAGACATGACTGAACAACAACAAAGGGCCCAGTAAGGTTAAAGTTGATTGGGTGTCCTCACTATCAGGCACCAATATGATGAGACACGGGGAGCTGAGGGCCATCAGTCAGCCTCAGAAGTGGGGAACCAGCCTAGCTCTGGGTTTGGGAAAGAGAGAGTGTGAGTGAGTACAGTCAATGTCACCTTGGAAGATGGCTCTAGTGGAGGTCTTCAGGGATCTGTGTTTCACCCCTTTCTCTTTAACATTTTTATCAATGATTTGGAAAAAGGCATAAATGCCATGCTTATCAAGTTTGCAGATGACACAAAGCTGGGAAGAATAATGAACGTATTCTATGATAGAGTCAGGATGTAGAAAGATCTTGACAGACTAGACCATTGAGTTGGAACTAGGCAGAAATTTCATAGAGCTAAGGGTAAAATATATTTCAGTTAAAAATAAAATTTACAAATGTAAGATGGAGGAGTCATGGTTGCAAAGCAGTGCATATGAAGCAAATCTGTGGACTGTTGGGGAATGCAAACTGAATAACCAACAGCCCAATATGGTAGCCAAGAGAGGTAATATGATGATCTTCATCTGCCTTGAGAGTCATTATATTTAGGACTTGAAATCTTACTGTATCGTGAACAAAGCACAGGATTATTGTGCTCATTTCTAGGTGGTACATTGTAGAAAGGACATTGAAACTCAAGTCCCACAGTTCCATCTGCTAAACAAAGGGTCACCTTAGGTAGCTGTAGGAATGCCTCATTCTCAGACAATTCAAACAGGTCTCTTTTTTTTCTCCTGCTTAGTTTGTAGTGAATTCATAGCCATTTATCTCCTCCCTCCCCTGGCACATGGGAGGACATGAACTTTCCACTCCCACTGGGCCTTTTGGGGCCAGTCTGGTGATGATCATTCTGTAAGTCTTCTACTGCAGTCCAGAACTCAAGCAGTGTTTATAGAGCAATATGGGGGGTGAAATAGTAAATATTTAACAACCAGACTGCAGGAAAAAAGAAGTATGCACACATACTTTTAGATTTATCCCTCATGTTTAACAGTTTCTTAAATCTAGGCAATCAACAAAACGATAAATCAAGCCCTGATTTGTAAAATCGCAGATTTCTGTAAATGCTCACACTGAAAATTTAACAATAGATTTTCCCAAGTTGGTTAGAGCTGGGATCATTGGTTCATAATCTCTTTTAGGATGAAGAAGATCACAATAGCACCATAATGAAAAGTGCTCTGGAAACCTTGCAATGTTATAGACATGCCAGCTGTTATTATTTCATTTAAGCTTCAGTTCAAGAACCACCTTCTCCATGAAGTTTTTCCTAAGCCCCTCAGCTTCCTGCTCTCCTCCTACTCGACATCACCCATATCTATATATCAGGTATGAACATGCTGTTTTCTTTGATAGAACGCAGGATCTTGGGGACCAAAGGCTGTTTCACTTTTGTCTTTTTAACTAGCACAGTGCGTAGCACAATATTAGGTGCCTAATAAATGATTGATTGCTGACGTGAAGCTGTAAGGGTTAAACACTTCCTAATTAGAACTATCCAAAAGTGAAATGGGCTGATTCTTGGGGGGAGGGAGGGCGGGGACTGATTCCTTCATGGTTTGACGTCTTCAAGAAGAGACATGACTAGTCAGTGAGATTGTAGAAGGGATTAGCGGTTAAATACACTACTTGTCCTCTGAGGTTCCTTCACCATCCCGAACTAGTTCTGTGTGATTCCTCCTCTCTGACTGGACGTTCCTGTCCCAGGAATCATTTAGGTTAGAAGTTTGGGAAGATGGGAAATTGGCCTGGCTTGTCTCCTCCCATCTCCTCCCTTTTCTCCATTCTGCCCTTTCTCTCTGGGCTGCGAGGTTCCTTTCTGGGAGATAATAGGTTAATTGCAGCTGACTTGGGGGCAGTCTAGGGTGAGGATCGGTCCTGTTGGTCCAAATTCCAGCTAGTAGAAGTAGCCCAGGAACCCAGAAACTTCAGAAGGGAGATAAGCTGTGAAGCCACGCTGCTGTAGCTGAGAAATCTTATCAGAGCGAGGAGAATTGGACAGCTGCCGAGAGGGACCCAGGAGCCAGTGCGGCTCATCCGGTATCAGCCGGGAAGGACGCGGGGAACCTCAGGTTAGTTCTGGCTGCCTGTGGCAACTTACTTCCACCGAGGGGCTGATCTCCTTTCCCGAGGTTATGGTGGAAGGGCGTTGGGTTTTAAATCAGAGAACCTTGTTAGGATTGTGGCTATGCCACCTACTCATTATGGTACCAGGGCCAACCCATTTAACTTCGTTGGGTCTCAATTTAAAGGAGGTTGTCGCTACTGAAGACTCATTTGTGGTCCTTTCTAGCTCTGAGTCTAAAATTCATGATCCTATGATCCTGCTTGGACGAAAAACAAACAAAAAACCCAAACAACAACAAAAAACAGCTTCAGACCAGTAATAATGTATCACTAAAGCAACAAAGTACTTTCTTCTCGACAACCCTGTGAGGTCCATGGTGCAAACCCCCATTCTGAAGATGAGAAAAGAGAGGTTCATATAGGAGCAGTGACTTGTCTTTGGCCAAGCAGAATTTAAACACACAGATCTTCTAACTACAAGTCCAGCATCTTTTCACTCAGTCTCCTCTCACACACTCCCACCCCTTCCCCCAGCACTTTCAGACTCCTCTGTGAGTCTTACTTCATTAAATTATGCTCACCTTATCCTCTCCACACTGTACTCCTTATTCCATTTCCTCTCTTCTTACTCAGAATGGACCCTGAATCAGTTAAGAAGAGGGAAGAAAACTGCCTTCTGCTCCTTGAGTAGGTAAAAGAGTAACTTGAGAGAAAAGATTATTTCGATTCAATTCTTAACGGTTCAGCTCTCAGTCTCATGGGAGTGAAAAGTGCAGCACTTGTCAGCTCTGGGTTCCCTAGGGATCCTGACGATGCCAAACAGTCTGAAACCAATGTCTTACTGCTCTGTTTCTCTGTCTGTCTGTGCACATTCCTACCTGGTGCCCTCCTCATTCCCTCTCCAGCAGTCTCAATGGACTGAATTAGAGAAAGTATCAAGGAAATTGAGAGCTGAAAGGGACTTTAGAAGTCATTCAGCCCAGTTGAACTTTGCCATATTAGATTTCCAGAAACTGGCCCAAAATGCCTTTTTGCCTTTGCCCAAGTGAGTGAGACTTTTGTTCCATAGGTCATAGGAGACTCTGCCCTCTCCCTCTTCCACAGGGGGAGTCAGGGTTATGAGTGCAGGTGAGAGGGGAGAAGCCTGGGAGCTGTTTGTTCATCAGCTCATCTTCCCCGACCCAGCCTTCGTTAACTCCACTCATGCAGACTAGACATACAGAAAAAAATAATTCTACGATACTCGAAAGATCAGAAGTCCAGCTGGCCTTCCTTTCCGCTTTTAAATTTTTTATGATTTTTGCCCATGGGGGACAAAACAAAAACCTAAATACAAAATCCCCAATGGGTCTGCATATATTCAAATGGGACATATTTAAAGAGAAGGGAGGTAGATTATCAGAGTGTACAGTAGATTGGCCTTGGGGTCAAGTTTTAAGCCCTGCCTTTGACCTATACTGGCCATGTGACCCTTGGTCAATCATTTGCCCTCTTTGAGGTCAAGGCAATTTTATTTTAGTGGACAGAGATTCTGCATAATACCCATGAACTCCTAAGTCCTGTAAAAAATAAATAGGAAGCTAAAAAGCCATCAGCGTTGTTCCCTTAACCTTGCATGAACATCATGTAAATGTCACCTCCTATCATGTAACTGGAGGCAGTGTGAAGTATTGGATAATGATCCCGCTTTGGACACATATTAGGTAACCACAAGAAAGTCACTTCAACCTTTCAATGGCCCATTGTCTCTGGCACTATTCAGTTACAGATGATGCTGCTGACATGTCATGTAGAAAAGAAATCATAGTTTTGTTCTGAAAAAATGCCAAAAAACCCAATAATAATGGCATAAGGGACAATTAAGAGACTAGCAAGCCAAAGGTCTTTGGCAGTGAAACCATATTTTATCTTAAAGAAGGAGGCGTTATTGGCTAATTGATCTTGTATTTGCAGTTTTCACAGGCTTTGGATTCTCAGCCCTCCATCGCATTAGGATTAAGGAAGAGCTCTCGTGGAACCATCTGTGGTCACTGCTCTTGGCCTGGTGCTCTGTATTTCCTGTCTGCTTCTAATTTCAGTGTGGAGAAAGAGTCATGGAAAAGGACAGCTCCCACCTGGCCCTGTTCCCTTTCCAATTGTTGGAAATATGTTGCAGTTAGACTTTAAGGACATCACCAAATCCTTTGGCTCAGTAAGTTAGCATTATTTAAAAAAAAAAATCTGTTCTAGTCCTGGCTTTTAGCATCCTGTGTTTCTGGAGATTGTGTGTTCAAACAGATCATGCTAAGGATTTTAGAAGCTAATTTATGTGTTATCTGATCCATATTTTGATTCATAGCAATGCTGCGGCTAGAAGGATTTAGTGAATCAGCTTTAGCTAGGTGTTTCTGGGTTCTAATAGGAGTCTGTATATATCAAGTAATTGAGGATAATTGCTACACATTCTCAAAGGCATGAGTGTAAGAATGTTTCAATTGCTTCCTCTTGGCTTGAAAGTTCAAGGAGCCATCATCATAAATACAATAAGTCAATAAACATTTATTAAGTGCTCACTATGTGCCAGGCAATACAAAAAGAGGGGAAAGATAGTCTCTGCCCTCAAGGAACTCAGAATCTAATGGGGGAGATAAAAAGTAAACAAATTTGGACAGACAAGATATACAAAAGATAAATAGGAAATAATTAAAAAAGGGAAGGTGGTAGAATTAAAAGTGATTGGGTGAGGTTTCCTGTCAATGAGAAGATTTTAGTTGGGACTTAAAGGAAATCAGAGAAGTCAGTGGGCAGAGATGAGAAGAGAGAGCATCCCAGGCACGACAGGCAGCCAGAGAAAATGTCTGGAGTTGAGAGATGGAGTGTCTTTTTCATGGAAGAGTAAGTAGGCCAGGGTCATTGGATCAAAGAGTGTGTGGTGAGGAGTAAGAAGACTGGAAAGGTAAGGGGCAGGCGCTATGTTATGAAGAGCTTTGAATCCCAAACTAAGGATTTTGTATTTGATTCTGGAGGCAGTAGAGAATTTATTAGAATTTATTGAGTAGGAGAGTGGTATAGTTGAACCTGTACCTTTGGAAAATCACTTTGTTGGTTGAATGGAGGATGGATTAGAGTGGGATAGATTTGCATCTAGTAGACCCAGGTGGCTAGGCTATTTCAGGGGTCTAGATGTGAAGTGATGAATATCTCCACTGGAGTGGTGGCTGTATTAGAGAAGAGAGGAAGGCCTATTTGAGAGATGTTGCAAAGGTAAAATCAATAGGCTTTGGCAACAGCTTGGATATGGGAGGTGAGAGACTATGATCTAGAGATACTCAAGAGTTCAGAATTTGCTATCATTCCTGAGCCCAGGCTGGCTTTCAGCCAGGCACACTTAGGATTACACACAAGGACTCCTCGAATGACTCTTAGGTAGCGAGCTTGAGGGGCTAGGAAGATGGTGCTGGTCTTTGCAGTAATAAAGAAGTTGGGAGTAGGCAGGGTTTAGGGAGAAAGATAATGACATGTCTTGGACATGTTGCAATTAAGATGTCTAGTGGACATCCAGTTTGAAATGCTTGAAAGGCAGTTGGACATTGAAGTCAGTATGGAAATTAGGGAAAGATAGGTAGATTTGAGAATCATCAGCACAGAGGTGGTAATTAAATCCATGGGAGCTGATAAGATCACCAAGTGAAGTAATATGGGGGGAGAAGAGAAGAGGACCCAGGACTGAACCCTGAGGGACATCTATGGTTAGAGGGGGTGACCTGGATGAGGATCCAGCAGAACAGAATGAGCTTGTTGTTTAGTCATTTCAGTTACGTCCAACTCTTTGTGACCCCATTTGGGGTTTTCATGGCAAAATACTGGAGTAGTTTGCCATTCTTTGTCCCATTCATTTTACAGATGAGGATACTGAGGTAAAAAAGGTTAAGTGACTTGCCCAGGGTCATACAGCTAGTAATTGTCTAAGGCTGGATTTGAATTCAAGTCTTCCTGGCTCCAGACCTGGGACTCTGTCCACTGTGCCACCTAGCTGCCCCAAGCAGAATGAGGAGTGGTCAAATAGGTAGGAGAAGAACCAGGAAAGAATGCTGTTCTGAATACCTAGAGAAAAGAGAATATCAAGGAAGATACCATGATCAACAGTGTCAAAGGCTGAGGAAAGATTGAGAAGAATGAGGATTGAGAAAAGGCCACTGGTTTTTGGCAATTAAGGGAGGATTACTAACTTTGGAGAGAGCTTATCACCATCATAGGCAAAAAAGAGAGTATTTCGTGAGTTTGATTATTCTTAGCTGCTGGGGGAAAAGAAAGGGTTCTGCAAACATTCAGGGATCAGAGTGGAGATGTTTTCCCTGCACCAGCCTCCATAGGAGCACTGGCACAGCCTCTATGTGCAGCCTCCATGCTTGTGTGTAATCTTAAGTGTACCTGGCTGAAAGCAAGCCTGGGCTCAGGAACACCAGCAAGTTCTGAACTCTTGAGTATCCCTAGATCAAGATCTAGACCCTGTAGCTCTCAAAGCCTTTGAGGGGCAGCCTGGGGTAATAGGAAGAGCACTGGACACAGAATTAGAAAGAGCTGGGTTCAAGTCCAGGCTCTTACACTTACTAGCCTTGTGTCTTTGGGAAGTGATTTCATCTCTCCGAGCCTTTGTAGCTTCTTGATGTATTAGAGGGAAATTGTGGATTAGGGTCCTATCTGCCTCAAAGAGTTGTATGTGAAGATCAAATGAAGTTAACATAAATTAAAGTGTTTTATAACCATATAATATAATCATTACGACCTGGTAAACCTTCAAACTGTTCTTTGAGCTTCCGCATGTCCAACATTCAATGTATGGATTGTATGATCTCTAAGGACCCTTCTGGCTCTAACTCTAGTGATCTTATTGTATTGGTTTGTGGGATTTCCAGTGGGGAAAAAGGCCTGGCTAGCCCTGCCTCCCCTGGTTCAGGATTTCACTAATGGCATTCTCTCTTCTCCTCAGCTCAGGTGTTTTTAAAGATTCAGAAAAAATAAAGAAACAAAACTCCTTCCTTTCATAGGAAGGATAGAATCTTGATGTCTTTCATTAACCATCCTACTGGCTGCTACCCCACAGAAGGAAATGGGATTCTGTGCTTTTGGCCCATCTGGGTCCTGGGTCAGGCATGTGTTTTGCTTGGATCCTTTCTGTTATATCCAAAACATCAAAAATGTTTTGAAGGGGCTGCTCTTCAATTGAAAATTTCTCCAATGACATCGTCAGTGGTAAACCAAGGTGTTTAATCAGTCAGTTTGGTGATAACTCTGTCGATGTGTCTGCATCTCTTCCCACAGCTGGCGAAAAGCTATGGTCCAGTGTTTACTTTGTACATTGGTTCTGAGCCTGTTGTTGTGTTATATGGGTATGAGGCAGTGAAAGAAGCTCTGATTGATCACGGAGAAGAGTTTGCTGCCAGAGGAAGTCTCCCAATTATTGATGCTGTTAACAAAGGATTGGGTATGTTTCCTCTTGGTGTAGAACAGGAAAACTAGATAAAACAGAATAGGGAAAAAAAAATGGGTAGAAACATACCCATTTCCAACCAAATATCCTAAATCAGGGACATACTGGGGAGGATAGGGTGGTATAAAGAATATCTTTCTATCTCCACCTCTTATCTAAATAATTTCCAGTTGAAGTAGAGAGAAAAAGATAGAGGGAAAGATAAAGAGACCAAAAGGGGTGGGATGAGAGGGAAATGGCGGCCATGGACAATACAGAAGGAGGAAGGAAGGCACAGACCCAGAGGAAAAGAAAACAAACTTTCTCACCCACCCAGGTTATATATTTTGATACAACCTTCTACCCCTTGGTCATCACTGTCTTTCTCAAAGGTCCATTCATCCATTTCATCCTCCAGTTGGTCAGAATTTTTTTTGTCCAGGGGCCTGGTGGTCAATAGCCTCATACACACACTGGTTTTTTTTTTTACTGGAAACTCACTCTAAACTTGTGTGTCTTGCTCTTGATAATCTTGATATTGACTTTCTGGCAATGTGACCAGTGTCTTCTCCTTCATCTCCTTCCTAAATATATTATGAAAAACATTTTTAAATGCATTACTGAAATCCAGAAATTTCCTGGATCTACTAGCCTAGTGAGCACATTAAAAAAGAAAATGATTAGTACCAGTAAGATATCCATTCTGATCCTTAGGGACCACCTGTTCCAAGTCCTTATAAACCAATCTCTTTCAAAGAGTACTAAGAGGGTGGATGCTTCAGACAAGGCCCCTTGTTTATAGGACATTACAACCTGTGCCTTATCATGGGAAGTTTCTCTCTCTCTCCAGATACATACAGTTGCATTTTGTATTTTAATTATAGAGGGTAGGAGTGGCCAATAGATAACAAAGAAGGCACCTCTGTTTATAGTGACTTGCCGGAATATACCTTTAGTAACTCACAAAAATATTAAGAACAGTTGTCTATTCTGGTCTTTTCATAGAGCAGAGAGCCTAGAACTTCAACTTTCCTCAAAAGGCATCTCAATTCCTGGACCAAAAGATACAGAGATATGTACATAAAGTTAATTTATTCCATGGTCATTTGAAGTCTCAAAAATATATTCAGCCTGGCTGCCAGATTTATGGCTATTTCTGTATAATAAGGGTGATGTGAATACCTGATCAGCTGATGTATTTGTGATTGTGGTGGGTGAGAGGGGATTGGAGTTTGAGACGGAAGAGAGAGCAGTGCTGATAGAGGAGAAAGCAAATTGAGAACTACCACACTTGTGCCCATCATCCCCTAACAGGAGTTGGGGTGGCCGAGAATCCTTGTGCCTGGACTCTTTGGGGCAAGAGACACAAAGGAACTTCTAAGTCTGAGGTTGTTCACTTCCATGCCTGCTGGAGTGTTGGTCCCATTCTCTTCCCCACTTCTCTTCCTGCTGGAAATCAAGACATGGAGGAATTCCCTGTTCTTCTTTCTCTGATCCTTCTCATAGGAATTGTTTTCAGCAGTGGAGAGAAATGGAAGCAAATGCGGCGCTTCTCTCTCACGACTCTGAAGAATTTGGGGATGGGGAAGAGGAACATTGAGGAGCGAGTCCAGGAAGAGGCAAAGTTCCTGGTGGAAGAATTTAAAAAAGCAAATGGTTGGTGCTTATTTATTTTATTTATTTGTTAAATTCATTTACTTTATATTTACTTTAAAGATTTTATTTATTATGTTATTTACCCCATTAATCTTGGGAAAAATTGCTAATTCTCTCATTAAAGTTGTTAGTTCACAGAATGAGGCAGTTTCAAGAAATGTATTGTAGTCACCAACTACATGGGATGTGTTTGGTCTTTCAGTCTGGTTCTGGTACAAGACTATAAAACCCTGTGATCATTCCTGGAAGCCCTGAAGGCTAGAAACTACTGAGAGAAAAAAGACAAGGGACATCATGTAGCACTCCTGATGGATTTACACTGGGCTTGTGGGGAAGACAGTGGTGGAAAGAAGTCAGAAACCTGGGGTGTTAGTCCCAGATCTGTGACAACTGCCCCCTGTCCCACCTCTGGCCACCATCACTGCAGAAACAGGCATATATTCACAAGTCTTAGGGACATTCTGTCTTTATTTCATGGTTTACCATGGCAAATGTTTCATCGCCCAGTGGCTAACCTCCAGATGAGTCTCTTTGTACTTAACTAGGCTGATTCTTGGATAGTAGAACCTGTCAAGACCTTGGTTTTTGGAGCATAGCCTTGCAGAATCCAGAGTCACCCTTTTTACAGATGAGGAAACTGAGGCATGGGGAGTCAAATGCAATGCCCATGGTCACACAGCAAATAAGTATCTGAGGTGGGATTTGAACTCAGGTCTTCCTGACTCCACATCCAGCAATCTGTGCACTTCCCTGCCTAGCTGTCTCTGTTTTGTGCTTAAGAACAAACTACCTTCTTGTATCCCAAGACCAGGAAGGTCACTAAATGCTTACAAGGATCGTCACACTGATAGAGAACAGCAGACTATACAAGGTCTACATGCCATATTTCCAAGAATAGTGAGATGAGATGGCCTACTCTAGGAAGATGATCCCAGAGAAGAGCTTTGGTGGAAAAGTTACAGCTGGAATCCTGAACCTGGACATCATCATCATCCTTTCCAGCTATGACACAGTGCAGGACAGGATGAGTCTGAGCAAGATCTGGCAGGGGACATTTGAGGAGACTACAAACAGCTTTGCTTTACCCCTCCAGTTATTCAAATGGAAGCTGAGGAGGGTAAAGGTCAGTGTGACCACCTCCTCCATCTCCTATTCTATTCTAAGAGGTTCAGTAGAAGGGTGTTCTTCCTTCTTCAAAAGCTAGGTGGCACAGGGATTAGAGCTCAATGCTTGAAGTCAGGAAGACTTGAGTTCAAATCCACCCTCAGATCCTTATCAGTTCTGAGGCCCATAGCAAATCATTTAATAACAGCACCTTCCTCCCAGGGTCGTTGTGATGAGCAAATGAAATAGTAACTGTAAGGTAAGTGCTATATAAATGTTAATTATTATTGTTCTATGGATTCCTAAATCTATGAAGCCACAGGACTTCAGGGGAGTCCATAAACTGGTACATAAACCAATGCCACAACTTCTTTGTGATAGCTGTTTTTAAAATTTTAAAACACAAAATTAGCATATGTGTGAACATGTAGGGGAGGATGGACGGTAGGGGGTAATAGAATACTGTCTTGATTTGGTCATAATCTAGTTTTACATACTCTTCTACACCAGAATCTTTTACCAGGGATAACCTCCTAATGAAAAACAAACAAACAAACAAACAAATACAGTAGAACAATACCAGCATACCCCTGTAAACATGAAACAGGAACACATACACATGAAATCTTTGCAATGGCTGAATATTCCCAGATTTGTTTGGCTTGTAAAGGGTGATTATTTCCTCATGAGAACACCGCTAGCTCTTTAGAAAACTGCTACTACATGAAAATGAGGCTGCTTCAGGTACCCCAGAAGATGATCTCAACCTCAGAGTATTTAGAACAAACCTTTCCACTGTCTCCCCTATCCATTCCCTTGTTCCAGTGTCAGGAGGCTTTTCTCCTTTCTAAGCTTATCCTTTTTACTTTTCTCCTCTTATTCAATCTCTTCCAAGTTGCTGGCTCCTTCCCCATGGCTTACAAACATGCTCAGGTCTCCCACATCCTTAAAAAATTCTTCACTTGACCATCCTTTCAAGCTATCATCCTCTTCTATCTTTCCTCTTTTATTGCCATATTCCTAGAATGAATCATCTAAAATAAATTCATCCCCTTTCTGTCACTTTTTAATCACTTGCAAATCTCTGTGTTGACCTTAGTATTTTATTGATTTACTCTGTTGATGTTACCAACAATCTTTTGTTTACTAAATCTTTGGCTTTGTCTAAATTCGCATTTTCCAATGACCTTTGCGTAGTTATTGATCCTGGTGGTCATTCCTCCCTGTGAGGGGCTCTGTCCTGCTCTGACTTCTATGTCATTATACACTCCAGGATCTAATTGACCAATGTCAGTGGATTGGTTCACTGGATCACCCCATAGCCAGTGCTCTAGTCCTGTGTGTGTGTGTGTGTGTGTGTGTGTGTGTGTGTCCTGAACCCTATCCTATACCAAGATATTTTCTTCTTTTTCCATCTTCTCTCTCTTGGGTATATGATGTGAACCCATGGATTCGAGGTACAGCTAACTTCCAAATCTATACTTCTAGCTTTTGTCTCTCCTCAGTTTTAGTCCTGAATCACCAGCTGCCTATAGGAAGTTTATCTGGATGTCCTGTTTGCATCTCAAATTCAAAATCTCTGAAACCTAATTTATTATTTTTATCTTTCAATATGTTCTTCCTGCAAACTTCCCTCTTTTTGTTGAGGACACCAGTGTCTTCCCAATCATAATTTCATTTCCTTCACTCTTGCCTCATATGTAATAAGTTGCTAAGTCCTGTTCATTCTACCTCTACAACCTCACTGGCGTCTATAACTTTTTCTTCAGTTACCTGATTTCCACTCTAATTCAGGTCCTTATCACCAGAACCCCTACCTACCATACGTTGTTTCTCTATGGTCTCTCTGCCCTTATTGCCCCACTCTGATAGATTGTTTACATACCTGCTGTTAGTATAACTGGTTTGTCCATGTCACTGTTTTGTTCAACTCTCCAGTGTGTCCCTATTATCATAATCTGGCTCCAGCCTAACTTTCTGTCTCATTTCAAATTATTTCCCTTAGTGCCCTCTGCACTACAATGAATAGTGCCGAATTGGACTACTCATTCCCTGAATACATCTCCTTATATCACAAACTATTCAACATTTTTATTAATGAGTTGAATAAAGGTAGAGATGAAATGCTTGTCAAATTTACAGATGATCTGCATCCAGAAGGGACAGCTAATTTGTTGGATAACAGAAGGATGTCATCATCACCTCTGGATTCCCCTAAGTTCTTAAGATAGTGGTTTTTTGTTTTTTGTTTTAGTCTGTTTTTCTTTGTTTCTTAAAAATTATTTAGTATTTTATTTTCCCCAGTTACATGTGAAAACAATTTTTAGCATTCGTTTTTAAAACTTTGAGTTCCAAATTCTCTCCTCTCCACCACCCTTCATTGAGAAGGTAAGCAACTCGATATAGGTTATACATGTGAAGTCATGCAAAACATATCTAAATAGATATGTTGTAGAAGATAACATAGGCCAAAAAAAACCCTCAAGAAAAATAAAGTAAAAAAGTATGCTTCATTCTGAATTCAGACACCATCAGTTCTTTCTCTGGGAATTAACAGCATTTTTCATCATAATTTTTTTCAGAGTTGTCTTGGATCATTGTACTCCTGAATATAGCTAGGTTATTCACAGCTGATCATCTTACAATATTGCTGTTACTTTGCACCCAGGACATTTCGCTTCATATCAGCCCATGCAAGATTTTCCAGGTTTTTTCCGAGGGCATCGTGATCATTATTTTTTTTTTATTATAATACAATGATATTCTATCATAATAACATAATAACCACAACTTGTTCAGCCATTTCCCAATTGATGGGCATCCCCTCAATTTCTAATTCTTTGCCCCTAGAAAAGAACTGCTATAAATATTTTTGTACATATAATTTCTTTTCCTTTTTTTTAATCTCTTTTGGGATACAGACCTACTAGTGGTATTGCTGGGTCAAAGGGTTTGCATGGTTTTATAGACGTTTGGGCATAGTTCCAAATTGCTCTACAGAATAGTTGAATCAGTTCACTACTCCACCAACAATGAATTAATGTCTCATTTTTCCCACATCCCCTCCAACATTTGTCATTAACCTTTTCTGTCCTATAAGCCAATCTAATACGTATGAGGTAGTACCTTAGAATTGTTTTAATTTGCATTTCTCTAATGCTTTGATTACCTTATCTGAAAACTGATCATATCTTTTGATCATTTATCAATTGGGGAATGGCTTATTTTTATAAATTTAACTCAGTTCTCTATATGTTTGAGAAATGAGACCTTTATCAGAGAAACTTACTTCACAATTTTTTTTCACAATCACTACCGCTAACTGTATTTCCCTCCATCCTATTCCTCTCCCCTCCCAGTTTGTTCCATTCTCTCTCTCCTTTCACCTGTCCCTCCTCATAGTGTTTTTAGGTATTTAGTGAGTACTTGTTATCAGGGTATTGTGGGGGGCAGGTGGGTTTGAAAGTAGGTACTAAGTCTACTGCCCTTTCTACATGAAACCTTTTCTGATTCCCCTTACTTCTACTGCCCTCCCTCTGAGATGGTCTCTTTATACAATTTCTTGCTACATAGTAGTTTGCACGCTCTGAGCTCCTTGAGAATAGGGACTATCCATTGCCCTCTTCATGTCTTTGGTGCTAGATCAGTGCCTAACACATAATAGTTGTCTAATCAATGGTTATTGACTGACCATTTGATTTGAATGAATTAAAAGTCTACTGCAATAGTTCAGGAGAGAGGTAATAAGAGCCTGCTCCCAAGTGGTGCCAATGTCAGAGGAGAGAAGGGGTGTATGTAAGAGATGGTGGGAAGGTAAAATTGACAGACCTTTGCAACATATTAGATTTGGGGAGTGTGAGAGGGTAAGGAGTTGAGGATAATGCTCAAGTTGTGAGACTAGGTCATTGGGAGAATAGTAGTCCCCTTAATAGTAATAAGGAAGCTAGCAAGAGGAGAGGGTTTGGGGGGTGGTATGTAAGAGAGACAATGAAGAAATAGTAACACTTAGAAATGGAGTAGATGTGGGGAGTGAGGGTGAGAGAAGAGTGATAGAGGTGTTGAGCATTGGTAACTCTGTGAATGGTAATCCCATTCATAGAAATGAGCAAGTCTCAATGTGAAGACTGGTTTGTAGAGGAGATGATGGAAATAGATTTTTTTTAAAAAAGAGCTTGAACCTCATAGATAGGGGAGAAAGGCAGAGGCCACTCAGTGGGCTGAACCCACTACTTATTTGCAGGAGAGCTTTGACTTGTTCCATTTCCTATCTGGATTGGTTCGCCCTCTTTAAGCAAAATGGTCATTCCTCTCCTCTCTCCTTCCTGAAGACTCACAATATTAATTCTGAACCCAACTGACTTAGCTCACTATTGATTAGAACTTCCAAGCTCAAGAAACTTGCCAGTTTCAGATTTCCCAGTATCTGGGATTGCAGGTGTGGGCTGCCACACTTAGGGGGAACAGATTTTGATGAGGCAAGTAGTGTGGTGCAGTAGAAAGAACATTGACTTTGGAGTCTGTACTTTGGACTTTGCTAGTCAGACTTTGCCAGTCAGAGCACAGAATTTGGAGTTGAATTTCACCTCTTTCACCAGTTGTGGGACCGTGTTCCTTAGCTATAAAATGGGGATTTGATATTTGCACTGAGTTGTAAGAAACAAATCAGATAAAGGCTATACCACCACCACCACCACCACCACCACCACCACTACTAATATGGACTATTACTACTCCTGCTATTGGTGTTGCTGCTGCTGCTACTACTCCAACTACAAAGACCACTATTATGACTATGATTACTACCACTAAAGCAAAGCGTTTGACTATAACCTAAACAGTACCATGTAAGTGTCAACTTGTAAGCTTGCTAGAGCTGTTCGGGGGGACAGTAGGAGAGTCAGGTGCCACTGCCATTTGAGGTAGGCAAATCTCACCTTGTGTTGTCAGTGATATCTAATTTAAAATGCATGTCTCTCTTTCCCCCTCTCATTCTTTAGGACAACCCTATGATCCCAGATTCATCCTGGAGTGTGCTCCCTGCAATGTCATCTGCTCTGTCATTTTCCAGAAACGTTTTGAATATGATGATCAGAAATTTCTACATTTAGTGGAGCTTTTACAAGAAAACAACAAAATCTTGAACTCCCCATGGATACAGGTGAGGCCAGTGTTTTCTCCTCCTCGGGCTCAAGACATTTTTCTTTATTTGATAGAAATGACTACCAGAAACTAGGCTAGGATTCATCATGCACCCTATTGGGAGGTAAAGCAGTGGAATTCTGGAATGTGTCCATACCTGCTTCCTCCTGGAAAGGAACCACTGAATGGAGACAGAGCAGAGGATTTGTCCTATAATTGCCCTGTTAACCACTGCTTACTATTCAGGCTTCTCTTACGAGTACAATCTGAATCTTAGAGTGAAGAATTATCATTTGTATCCATTAAAAAAGAGATATGTAATTTTTTTCTTTTCTTAGGTCTACAATTTTATACCATCTCTAGTACATTATCTCCCAGGATCTCACAGGAAATTCCTTAATAACTGGAAAAAACTGCAGACTTTTATCTGGGAGAGAGTGAAGAAACACCAGGAGACCCTGGACCCCAACGATCCTTGGGACTTTATTGACTACTTCCTGATGAAAATGGAGCAGGTACGATGAGAGAAGCAGGTTGGCAGCTCACTTTTCATGGATTATTTGGATCCTGTATTGGGACACATTCTCAGTGACACATGCATTAGTGAATGTAGTAGATCTGAGAAAGCAGGGGAAAGCAGGCAACTTTTTGGACATAGTTTCAAATTGCTTTCCAGAGTGGACAGACCAATTTACAGCACCTGCTTACATAGGCCTTAAGTACTGAGACATATAGGAATACAGTGACTCTTAAAGTGACACTGTTATTTCCTTTCACTTGGAGAAGAAACCACAGGAAGACATAAGGCACATCTGGACAAAGAGTGAATCCAGAGATGACGCATGGTATCTTGTAGGAGGAGTTCCAGCTGCTGATTAGAGAAAAATGTAGTAGAAAGGAGTGGGACATTAGAGACTATGTCTGTGCAATTGGAGAAGGGCATCAGGCATTCTAAGGGAACTCTGTCTGCTATGCTTTACTTGCTTTTGGCAGTCACGTGGGATAGTGTAAGGCATTAGTCACTACTGACTTTTTTTCTCTCTCTCCAATGATAAAATTCATTTAAGCAAAGATACATAATTGGAATAAGTGTGTATGTATGGAAGTGGTCATGGGAACTTCCCAGCAACTGGCTGATGAAGAGTTTCCAGCATGTCTCTATTTCCATAGAAACCCATATAGCTGAGACCCTGATAGGGCAGCTTATGCGAAGTGTGGGGTCTTGTCACTTGTGGGAAGCCATTAAAGACCTAAGTCTTTTATTTCTTGTCCCCAAAGCTAAGCCTGAACACTGGATGTAACTAGAGTCATTAGTAGGTTTGGCTGCATTTCTTAGGTTGTGTGGATGATTCTGGAGGGCTTATATGTGCCCATTAAATTCTAAGAAGAATGAATTATATAACAGGGTCACCCAGTATATAATTCCAAGAGTATTTTCATTCATACTTCCTCTACCCATATCTTCATATATGCTTCCTCCACTCACATTCTCTACCCTAAGTGCAAGACTTATCACCTTTTTCCCAGCCTGTTTAATTTTTCCAGTTTCCAAAGCATTTTATTTATTTAATTTTATCCTTACAACAACCTTGTGAGGTAGGTGTTATTCTTACCCTCATATTATTGTTATTTGTCTACTTAATTTTAATTTTATTTTATAAAATTCAATTTAATTTTATTTTTGTGTCTGAATTTTCTTCTTCCTACTCCCTTTCTCCCTCATTGAAAAAGCAAGGAAACAAACAGTCACGAAGAAGTATAGCAAAGCAAAAAAAAATTCCCATCTTGGCCACGTCCAAAACAAGAACAAAAACAAAAAGATAGGCCTCAGTCTATGCTCCGAGGAGGAAGAATGTTAAAGAATAATGGCATAAAGTTGGGGGAAACAGATTTAAGGGTGGATGCCAATGTTTTGTTGAACTGGCTAATCATAGAGTTAGTACTGTAAAAGGAAGAAAATGAGGCCAGCACAGGGTGGTGGACAAAGAAAACAGAGAAGAATTGAGTGACTGGAAGATATAGTGAGGATGAACAATAGATTCAGCAGGAGGGAGGAAAGGACGGGAAATTTTGAGCAGAGAGTAGAATTTCAAGTCCAAGATTACAGAGAATGAAAAGTTTGGTGCACCTGCTTTCAAAGTTGTTTGTCTTTATGGTATTGTTGTTTACTGTATAAATTATTCTCTTGCTTCTGCACATTTCACTGCATAAGTTCATAGAAGTCTTCCCAGGTTTCTCTGAAACCATTCTTATTTCTTATGGTAAAATAAGAATTATATTGCATTCTTATTCCATCATTCGTTCATTCATTGCCAAGTTGATGGACACCCCTAGTTTCCGATTCTTTGCCAATACAAAAAGAGCTACTATAAATATTGATGAACATTGGAGGGCTTGAAATATGATATTCCACAAGGCAAAGGAGCTTGGATTACAACCAAGGATCAACTATCCAGTGAAACTGAGCATAATTTTTCAGGGTAGGAGATGGACATTAAATGAAATAGGGGACTTCCAAACCTTCCTGATGAAAAGACAAGAGCTCAAAAGAAAATTTGATCTTCAAATACCAGACTCAAGAGAGGCATAAAAAGGTAAAACAGGAAAGGGAAAAACCCTACTTGTTATTCAATAAGGACAAATTGTTTACATCCCTACCAGATGACACTTGTAACTCTTGAGAACTGTATCTTTATTATGACATTTAGCAAGGGTATAAATAGACAGAGAGCATGGGTATAAATTGACTTTGATGTGATGATAAAAAATCTAATTAAGTGGTGAAAAGAGATTGTATTAGGAGAAGAGGAAAGGAGGAGGCAGAAAAGCATAAATTACATCACACGAAGAGGCACAAAGACCTATTACAGTAGAGGGAAAGAAGTGTCCATTAACTGGGCAAGAAGAAGTAGAGGGAGATGAGCATTGTTTGAACCTTACTCTCATCAGATTTGGCTCAAAGAGAGAATAACATTATCAGTTAGGTGTAGAAATCTGGCTTACCCTATAGGAAGTAGGAAGGGAAGGGGGAAAGAAGAGGGAGGGGGTAGATAGAAGAGAGGTAAGAAATAGTAAGGGAAAAGGGAAGCAAAGGCAGGGGGCAGTTAGAAGGCAGGGCAATTTGAGGGAGACAATGGTCAAAAGCAAAACTCTAGTGAGGAGGGAATGGAAGAAAAGGGAGAGAAAAGCATAAATGGAGGAAAATAAGATGGAGAGAAAGACACAGATGGTAATCATAATGTGAATGTGAATGAGATGAACTCTCTTATAAAACCAAAGCAGATAGCAGAGTGGGTTAAAAACCACAACCCTACAATATGTTGTTTACAAGAAACACATTAGAAGCAGAGGGATACAGAGTAAAGGTAAAAGGCTCGAGTAGAATATATTATGCTTCAACTAAAGTAAAAAAAAACCATGAGTAGCAATCCTGATCTCAGACAAAGCAAAAGCAAAAATAGATCTAATTAAAAGAGATAAGGAAGGAAACTACATCCTACTAAAAGGTACCATAGACAATGAAGTAATATCATTAGTAAATATATATGAATCAAGTGGTATAGCATCTAAATTCTTAGAGGAGAAGTTAAGGGAATTACAGGAAGAAATAGACAACAACACTATGCTAGTGGGGGACCTCAACCTCCCCTTCTCAGGACTAGATAAATCTAACCACAAAACAAACAAGAAAGAGGTTAAGGAGATGAATAGAATTTTATAAAAGTGAGATATAGATGACCTCTGTAGAAAATTTAATGGGGATAGAAAGGAATATACCTTTTTCTTGGTGGTACATGGCACCTACACAAAAATTGACCATGTACTAGGGCATAAAAACCTCATAATCCAATGCAGAAAGGCAGAAATATTAAATGCATCATTTTCAGATTATGATGCAATAAAAATTACAAGTAATGAAGAGTCATGGAAAGATAGACTAAAAATTAATTTGAAACTAAATAATCTAATCCTAAAGAATGAGTGGATCAAACAACAAGTCATAGAAATAATCAATAAATTCATACAAGAGAACATTCCAAAACTTATGGGATACAGTGAAAGTGGTTCTTAGGGGAAGTTTTATATTTCTCAATGCTTACCTGAATAAAATAGAGAAAGAGGAGATCAATGTATTGGGCATGAACTAAAAAAGCTAGAAAAAGAACAAATCTAAAATCCCCAATTAAATACTAAAATGGAAATTTGGAAAACCAAAGGAGAGATTAATAAAATTGAAACTAAGGAAAGTATTGAACTAATAAATAAAACTAAGAGCTGGTTTTATGAAAAAACAACAACAAGAAAATATATAAATCTTTGGTTAATTTGATTAAAAAAAAAGAAAGATGAAAACCAAATTACCAGTATCAAAAATGAAAAGGGTGAATATACCACTAATTAAGAGGAAACTAAAATAGTAATTAGGAGCTATTTTGCCTAACCATATGCCAATAAATTTTACAATCTTAGTTAGATGGATTTATAATAATATAAATTGCTCAGAATAATGGAAGAGGAAATAAAATACTTTAATAACCTTATTTCAGAAAAAGAAATTGAACAAGTCATCAATGAAATCCCTAAGAAAGAAATCTCCAGTGCCGAATGGATTTATAAGTGAATTATATAAAACATTTAAAGAATAATTAATTCCAATACTATATAAACTATTTGAGAAAATAGGCAAAGAAGAAGTCCTACCAAATTCTTTTTATAATACAAATATGGTGCTGATACCTGAACTGGGAAGAGTCAAAACAGAGAAAGAAAATTATAGACCAATTTCCCTAGTGAATATAGATGCAACAATTTTAAATAAAATACCAGCAAAGAGATTATAGCAACTTATCTTGAGGATAATACGCTATGACCAGGTAGGATTTACACTAGGAATGCAGGGCTGGTTCTTAAGAAAACTATCAGCATAATTGACCATATGAACAACAAAATTTACAGAAATCATATGATTATCTCAATAGATGAAGAAAAAGCTTTTGACAAAATACAAACCCATTCCTATTAAAAACACTAGAGAGCACAGGAATAAATAGAGTCTTCCTTAAAATGATAAGTAGCACCTATTTAAAACCATCAGCAAGCATTATATGTAATGGGGATAAGCTACAAGCTTTTCCAATAAGATCGGGGGTGAAAAAAGGATGTCCATTATCACCACTGTTATTTAATATTGTACTAGAACTGTTAGCTTTAGCAATAAAAGAAGAAAAATAAATTGAAGGAATTAGAATAGGCAAATAGGAAACAAAGTTATCACTCTTTGCAGATGATGTGACAGAATACTTAGAGAATCCTAGAGAATCATGTAAAAAATTACTTGAAAGAATAAAACTTTAGCAAAGTTGCATGATATAAAATAAACCTACATAAATCATTGGCATTTCTATATATTACTAACAAAGCCCAACTGTAGACATTATAAAATATTTTGGAGTCTACCTACCAAAACAAACCCAGGAACTATATGAACACAATTACAAAATGCTTTTCACACAAATAAAGTCAGATCTAAATAATTGGAAAAATAGCGGTTGTTCATGGATAGGCTGAGCTAATATAATGAAAGTGACACTTTTACCTAAATTAATTTACTTATTCAGCACCATACCAATCAAACTACCAAAAATTATTTCATAGAATCAGAAAAAAAACCAATAAAAATATATCTAGACAAACAAAAAGTCCAGAATATCAAGGGCACTAATGAAAAGAAATGCAAGGGAAGGTGACCTAGCTGTACGAGATCTTAAATTGTATTATAAAGCAGCAATCATTAAAACTACTTGGTACTGGCTAAGAAATAGAGTGGTGGATCAATGGAGTAGGTTAGGTATGCAAGACACAACAGTCAATGACTATATTAATCTACTATTTGATAAATCCAAAGATTCCAGTGTCTGGGATAAGAAATCACTGTTTAACAAAAACTGCTGAGAAAACTGGAAAAATATATGGCAGAAACTGAGCATAGACCAACATCTTACACCCTATACCAAGATAAAGTCAAAATGGGTACAGGATTTAGATACAAAGACTGATATTATAAGCAAACTAGAAGAGCAAGGAATAGTTTACCTTTCAGATCTATGGAGAAGGGAAGAATTTATGACCGACCAAGAGATAGAGAATGTTATGAAATGCAAAATGGATAATTTTGATCACATTAAATTGAAAAATTTTTGCACAAACAAAACCAACACATCCAAGATTAGGAGGAAATCAGAAAACTGGGAAAGAATTTTTACAACCAGTGTCTGTGATAAGGGCCTCTTTTCCAAAATATATAAAGAACTGAGTCAAATTTATAAGAATACAAGTCATTCCCCAATTGATAAATGGTCAAAGGATATGAACAGGCAGTTTTCTGAGGAAGAAATCAAAGCTATATATAGTCATATGTAAAAATGCTCTAAATAACTATTGATTAGAGAAATGCAAATTAAAACAACTCTGGCATACCATATCACACCTGTCAGATTGGCTAACATGACAAAACAGGAAAATTAGAAATGTTGGAGAAGATATGGCAAAACTGGAACACTAGTGCATTGTTGGTGGAGTTGTGAAATGATCCAACCATTTTGGAGAGCAATTTGGAACTATGCCCAAAGGGCTATAAAAATGTGCATAACCCTTTAACCCATCAATAGCACTTCTAGGGCTATAGCCCAAAGAGATCATACAAATGGGAAAAGGACCCACATGTACAAAAATATTTATAGCAGTGCTTTTTGTTGTGGCAAAGAATTGGAAATTGAGAGGATACCCATCAATTGGGGAATGACTGAACAAGTTGTGGTATATGAATGTAATGGAATACTATTGTGTTATAAGAAATAATGAACAGGCTGACTTCAGAAAAACCTGGAAAGACTTGTATGGTCTGATGCTGAGTGAAGTGAGAAGAACCAATAGAATGTTGTACACAATAACAGCCATGTTGTGTGATGACTATTATGATAAACTTAACCCTTCCCAATAATACAAGGATCTAAGACATCTCCAAAGGCCTCATGATGGAAAATGCTATCCACATCCAAAGAAAGAACTATGGAGTTTGAATGCAGATTGAAGCATACTATTTGCTATTTTTTTCTTCTGTTGAGTTTTGTTTCCTTTTTCTGGTGGTTCCTGCTATTGGTTCTAATTCTTACTTATAACATCACTAATGTGAAAATATGTTTAATAGGAATGTATATATATATACACATATGTATATATGTATATATATGTGTGTATATATATATATACATATGTATATATATATAGCCTATATCAGATTGTGCACCATCTTGGGGAGGGTGGTGGGGAGGAAGTGGGAGAAAAATTTTAAGCTCAAAAGCATATGGAAGTGATTGTTGATAAATCAAAATAAATTAATAAAAAATTAAAAAAAGAAGATATGGGAAAATTGGAACACTAGTGCATTGTTGGTGGAGTTGTGAACTGATCCAACCATTCTGGAAAGTAATTTGGAACTATGCCCAAAGGGCTATAAAATGGCACATACCCTTTGACCCAGCAATACCATTTCTAGATCTGTATCCTGAAGAGATCATAAAAATGGGAAAAGGACCTACATGTACAAAAATTTTTATAGCAACTCATTTTGTGGTGCCCAAGAAATGGAAATTGAGAGGATGCCCATCAATTGAGGAAAGGCTTAATAAGTTGCGGTATATGAATGTAATGGAGTACTATTGTGCTGTAAGAAATGATGAGCAGGCAGACTTCAGAAAAACCTGGAACGACTTATATGAACTGTTGCTGAGTGAAGTGAGCAGAACCAGAACATTGTAAACAGTAACAGCAACATTGTGTGATGATTAACTTTCATAGACTTGACTCTTTTCAGTAATGCAAGGATCTAAGACAGCTCCAAAAGACACATAATGGAAAATGCTGTCCACATTCAGAGAAAGAACCACGGAGTCTGAATGTGGATTGAAGCATACTATTTGCTCTCTTTTGTTGTTCTTTTGTTTCGTTTTGTTTCTTCTTTTTCATAGTTCCTCCCATTGATTCTAATTCTTCTTTACAACACAATTAATGTAAAAATGTGTTTAATATGAATGTATATGTAAAGCTATAACAGATTGCATGCCATCTTGGAGAGTTGGGGAGGTGAGAATGGAAGAGAAAATTTAAAACTCAAAAGCTTATGGAAGTTAATGATAAAACTAAAAATAAATAAATAAATTAAAAAAACATAAATGACATCATAAGTAAAAAAATATGTCTTTGAATATATGGCCCATTTTCCTCTTTTTTCTGACTTTTTGAGGCGTCTCCTGGTTGGTCTTCCCATCTCCAGGCTTTTCTGATCAACTGACTTTATAATATAACACTGCTTGTTTAGCCTCCCTATAACACCACTCATACCACAATTATACATGTAAAAAGAAATCATTTTAGGTCCTTGAAAAGAGAAAAAGAAATACAAAACCCCTACCTTATTAATTTAGGGTTTTTTTTAACCTAACCCCTACCTTCCATATTCAACCTTACCTCTTGCTACTCCCCCAAATGAATCTTCCAGTCCAGTTTCTCAGAATTCACTATGCCATTTCTATCCCTTAACAAATATTTCCCATCTTTCAAGGTCCAACTTAAATCCTTCTTCCTGAATTATGCCTTCCTAGAGATACATACACGTTGACCTCTTTGTTCTTTGAATTCCTTCTATAACATAATCTGGCACATAATCCCAGAAGGATGGTTTCATGAGTGGAAGTCACATATATAATTATTTTATGAATGGAAGTCTATTTATCTTACAGGATTATAACCACTTTGATAGTAGGGAGAATTTCATCTCTTTTTTTCTTCTGTCCTGAACCTAACAAAGTAAGTACTTGTTGAATTAAAATGGGTTCTATAGCACCTACCTCCTATTTCCATATTCTCATCTTCAGTCTTTGGCATATTTATGCTTTATTTCAATTCTGGTCTTAAATAAATCATTTCCCTTCATATTAACATCTCAGGAAACAAGAGAAATAGGACTATTTTAAAGAGACTACCTTATATGGTAGAAAAGGTAGTGAACATGGGAATCAGCAAAAGCTGGGTTTGAACTCGGTCCAGCACTCACTATCTGTGAGACATTTGGGAATTTCCTTAGCCTTTATTAAAAGAGAGTGGTAAGGTTCCACCTAAAAGTCATAATTTTTTTGGGGGGGGGGCTAGGCAATGGGGTTAAGTGACTTGCCCAGGGTCACACAGCTGGTAAGTGTTACGGGTTTGAGGCTGGATTTGAACTCAGGTCCTCCTGAATCCAGGGCTGGTGGTCTATCCACTGCGCCACCTAGCTGCCCCTAAAAGTCATAATTTTTATGAGGACTAAATGAAATAATGTATGTAGAAGGGCTTTGTACAAATCATTATATGTTATTTTTTCTTTACTTTTTTTTTGAGGCAATGGGGATTAAGTGACTTGCCCAGGGTCACATAGCTAGTAAACGTCTGAAGCAGATTTGAACTCAAGTCCTCTTGATTCCAGGGCTGGTGCTCTATCCACTGTGCCACTTAGCTGTGCCTGTTCTTTATTTTTCATTCTGATTTACTAAGTTAATAAATCCTGTTTATTTCACAAAACTCTTCCAAAATTTTTTCAAGGGGCATGGAATATCTGCATTGGATACATTTTACATCTATTTCCAACTTCTTTCTTCATTTTTGGTTCATATGTGAACCTAATCCAATTAAGTTATTTATAAATTAACTATATAATATTATCCTTAGGAAAAACAAAACCAAGAGACTGCATTTACCATGGAAAACTTGGCCCAAACGGTATCTGACCTATTTATTGCGGGATCAGAGACAACCAGCATCACTCTGAGATATGGACTTCTGCTTCTGCTAAAACATCCTGAAATAGCAGGTATACTGATCCATAAAAATGATAATGAAACTCAGAAGGAAAGTCAGCAAGAGAGGGACTTGTGGCTCTGTTGAGACTCACCTTGGAAAAATTTCTGTTGCTGTTTTCACGTTTTTAACATTAGCTCTCACATATCCAAATTTGCTCCCTTCTTCCATGGGTATTGCAGGGAGAGCACTACATGAACTTAAAAAAAAAAATCACCATGCAACTGTACAATGTTTTTAGTAGTATTATTATTATCTTAAAATATTTTGTTAAAATATTTGGCATGTAGATGACCCTGGGACCTCAAAGTTATGAGGAAGAGTGCAAGCTCCAGAAAGTCTGATTGAGCTGGGAAGGCTTTTGAGTACAGATCCAGTGACAGACCATGTTTCTGTTGCTTGAGTACCATTCTGGCTATGTTTGGAGAGGTTCTCAGAATTGGAAGGTGGGTTACCTTGGAGTCAGAAAGCCCTGGGTTCAAATCCCATCTCACTTATTAGCTATATAATCCTGAGCAAGTTATCCTTTCTTGGCCTCATTTCCTCAACTGTAAAATGAAGGGATTGGGCTAGATGACCTCTCAGGTGCCTTTTAGGATTGAATCTGTGATCCTGTGACTTTTTTGTTGCTGTTGTTCACAGGAACTCATGAAAGTGTCTACTAATATGTGGAGTAGCTATGGTCCTATATTTATGGAGAGACCACATTAATGATAGAAGGTTCTCACAACGGTGAAATCACAGATCTTTTGAAGTCTTTGGAATAATACCCTAAATTCAGTTGAGGAAGGGTCTAAAAGCTACATACCTTCCTGTAGGACAGAGATACTTAACCCTTTATGTGTGTGTTGGTGAATTCCTTTGGCAGTCTGGTGAAGCCTTTTCTCAGAATAAAGTTTTTAGATGCATCAAACAAAATATGTAACATTACTAAAGAAACCAATTATATTAAAATAAAGATGAAAAATGTTTTCCCACTGTGAAATCTAACCACAGTCCCCTTGGGATGGACCCCAGGCTAAGAATCCCTGCTTTAGGAAGACTTTACTTTCTACCTTATGTTCACAATAACAGCGGTCAGTATTTGAAAGCATCTTTGATTTGGTTTGTGGAGGTATTCCCTTTATCAATGCAGAATTCAGCTTACACATCTTAGTAGGCAGTTTCATGAGTTGCTGTGGCTTTAAAAAATCATCTCTAATAGTCTACATTTTAGTGATGGCATTTTAAAAATCTGGATAGACTGTTCTGCAGAGTCTGGATCTATAGTCTGTTGACAGGTTTATGTTCAAAGCCAGAACTACAAGGTTTGGCTGTTTTTGTCCCTTTGCTGACATCCTGGGGATAATGACTCTTCTCTTCTTCACATTTAACCACAAACCCCTCTCTAATGCTAGTTGCCTGCGCTGCCATCCTACTAGGGTCCGACAGTCACCAAACCCCTTTCTGGGAAGGGGGTGGTGCATGCTTTCCCATCTATGTTAAGTGGCCTGCTCACCAACATGCTGTCTGGTCTGAGAATCCATGCTATGCAGCATGTCTAGAATCAGCTGGCAGCCACCCATGATAAACTTGTCCTTAGCCCTCCCTATTCCCTATCGACCTCTGCCCTCTCTTTCCACTATACTTTGTGGCACCTTCCTTTATTATCTCAGTGGAAAGATCACTGGCTTTAGAGTAAAGAGACTTGTATTTGAATTCCAGCTCTGCTACCTGTGTGAACCTTAGGAAGTCATCTCACCTCTGTGAGCCTCAGCTTCCTCATCTGTATGCTGAGGGGTATTAGATTGGATGACCACTAAAGTCCCTGACAGCTCAATGTTGGTTATCTTTTTTTTCTTGCTTTTTGGTGAGGCAATTGGGGTTAAGTGACTTGCCCAGGGTCACGCAGCTAGTAAGGGTCAAGTGTCTGAGGTCAGATTTGAACTCAGGTCCTCCTGACTCCAAGGCCGGAGCTCTATCCACTGCACCACCTAACTGTCCCTCAATTTTGGTTATCTTAATCCTCCTCTATCTCTTCTTGTCAAATTCCTTCCATCTTCTGAGTAGCTTTTTTCTGAAGACACCACATCTCTTGGTACTCTTTCTAAGACCATCTGCTCCTTTCTCTCTCTCCACTATTACCTCCTCGCTGCCTAGTACACTTGACACATAGGACCAGTAGGAAGAGTTGATCTACTCCATGTTTTATACTATTTCTTTTTTTCTGAATTTGATTTCTTTTTATGTTATGTTGAGTTTTGATGGTACTGATGAAGAATGCACCTAAATATTCATTTGGACATCTGGTCAGTCCTGTGAGATCAATGAGGCAGATGTCGGCTCCATTTTACAGATGAGGAGCTTGAGATCTCAAAGAATAACTTTCCAAATGTCTAGTTAATGGTAGGATTGAGACTAGAACTCAGTTTTTGCAACTGTAGGAAAAGTCAGTCTTCTCCCTATATTACTTCCCCTCAAAGAGAAGAATAATAAATGACCAATGACAGCAACATATATGACACCAATATATTAATGACACCAATATATTAAAAGTATAACGAACTTGAAATGTCTGCTTGTCCACTTTGAAAACAATTGCCAAAAGTAAGAATTGCTTTAATATGTTGATGATACTTTATAATATAGTCGCCACAGCAAACAGCTATGTACATGCTAGATAAATACAGTATAACTGCAGCCAATCTCAAAGGGGAGACATAAGAAGTTGGGGTAGGGGATACGGGAATATGGAAACTGTCTCTTGCATAAGATGGGAGTTGTGCCAAATCTTGAAGGAAGTCGGGAGATCCAGGAGCAGGCTTCAGGAGGGAGAGCACTCCAAGCATAGAGGACTGACAGTGAAAAAGTATGAAGTCAAGAGAGAGAGAGAATTGTGTTCAAGGAACAGCATGAAGACTAGTATCTCTGGATTATAGAGGATCTGTGAGGGAGTTAGGTTTAAGAAGACTAGAAAAGGAGGAAGGGGTCAGTTTGTTAAAGACTTTGAATGAAAAGTTAGGATTTTATATTCATAACATTCATAAAGAATGTCTATGTCTTGTGTTGAATAATTAGTGAGGCAAGGAGGCCCATTTAGCCAAGGAATTCCAGGTCCATTCTTAACTTGGGTTTCATTCCTCATAGCAAATGTATCCTGTCCTACCAGTAGGCAGAACTGGCAAATCTGGATTCCCTGCTGTTCCCACACACTATGAAGATGTATAACTTGAACCCATCCAATTTGATATCTGTGTGTAATCCTACCAAAAGCCCTTGTCTTGCTTTTGTAGAAAGACCTGTGCTCTGAGGGCATGTGACTTACATGAATTAGGACCCGGGGACTCTCAGCTTCCCCAAGAGACTAAATGTAACTGTATTTTCTAGTAAAGAGAGGATTGAATGTGTTTTTCTTGAGGTAGCTCTGAATGACTGACCAGAAAAATTTGGGAAATGTGTTTTTCCTTCTTCCTCACTTTTAACATGATTTTTATTCCTATGTTAAAGATAAAATACGTGAAGAAATTGACCATGTGATTGGCCAAAATCGAAGTCCTTGCATGAAGGACAGAAGAAGTATGCCATACACTGATGCTGTGGTACATGAGATACAGAGACACCTTGATTTAATCCCCTCCAACCTGCCCCATGCAGCAAAACAAGACACTCAGTTCAGACAATATGCCATCCCCAAGGTCAGTGTTCCTTTGATCTATGCTACCTCTTAGTAAATTATAGAATCCTTGAATCTTGGAGATAAAAGGGAACTCAGAGGCTCTGTAGTCCAACCCCTTCTCCTGACAACTGATTATAGATATTCACTTACAGTATATATCCTACCTAGCTAGGCAGCCCATTCCATTTTTTAACATGTAAAATCAGCAGAAAATTATTCCATTTATACATTTGAAATCTGCTTTTTTGTAACTTCAAATCATTGGTTCTATTTCTACTCTCCAAGGGCAAGATTTCATTTTGTTTCTTACAAAATAATATACATTGTCAATACTTACTACTGGCACAGAGTCCAAGAGTTAATGTAGATTTTGACATATGGGAATTTATAAAGCCTGAAAGTCAGGGCTAGAGCTATGAATTCTTTTTCTTTTCTTAGGTTTTTTAAAAAAAATCAGTCAATTAACATTTATTAAGTGTTTACTATGTGTCAAGCATTGTGTTTAGGATACAAAGAAAGCCAAGTATTTATTTTATTTTATTTGTTTCAGCAAATAATATGTTTTCTCTTCCTCCCACCTTTCCCTTATTCTCAGTGAAAAAAAACAGAAAAACAAAATCCTTGTAATATATATGCATAATTGCAGTGTTGCCTGTCTCCAGAAAGGTAATGTCTTAGTCTTTGCCCTCAATCCACCATCTCTGTATCAGGAAGTGGGTAGCCTGCTTCATCATGGGTCCTTTGGAATCATGGTTGCTCATTGTAATGATCAGCATTCTTAAGTCTTTCAAAGTTATTTGTCTTTACAATATTGTTGTTATTATATAAAGTCTTCTCTTGTCTCTGTGCACTTCATTCTGTATCAGTTCATATATGTCTTCCAAGGTTTCTCTGAAGCTATTCCCTTCATCATTTCTTAGAGTCTCGTTGTATTCCATCACATTCACACACCAAAATTTATTCAACCATTCACCAATAGATAAGCAGTCCCTTAGTTTCCAGTTCTTTGCTACCACAAGAAGAGCTTTCATAAATATTTGGTACAAATGAGTCCTTTTCTCCTTTCTCTGTTTTTTTGGGGGTGGGGTGGGAGGAGGGAGGAGGATAAGAGGTTGCTATGTCAAAGGATATATACAGTTTTGTGACTGTGGGCATAGTTTCAAACTGCTTTCCTGAATGGCTACAGCACATCACAGTTTCACTAACATTGTATCAATGTGCCTGATTTCCCACAGCCCCTCCAACATTTGTTTTTTTCCTTGTCAGTCAGTTTTACTTATCTGATGATCTAATGTAGAATCTTAGAATTTTTTTTTTACTTCAGATTTCCCTAATTATTAGTGCTTTGAAATATTTTAAAATATGGCCATTACTAACTTGGATTTCTTCTTTTGAAAACTGCCTGTTCAAATCCTTTGTCTATATATAAATTGAACAATCTTTATTTTTCTATATGTCTGTTTCCTAAAATACAGTGGACTTGATTCTCCCTGACTTTGAACTTGGGAATACTCTTGATAGCTATATCTTCTCCTAGGCATGGAAACAAACAACTTCTTTCTTCCCTTCCCTCATTTATGCTTGTGCCTTGCTGGCCTGGAGTATTTCATGACAATTCCCTTTAGCTACATTGTAGCATGGTGGCAATCAATGGTGTAGTTGTTTCAAAATGCCATTGCGGAGTCAGTTTGTGCAAAATTTTTCTAGATCGGACTGGGTTTGTTTATTTGGGTAGCCAAAATATTAGAATCTCCATCCAATTGCCCAGCTAGCACACTAAACAAAGATAACATGAAGTCTTACATTTGTGTTTAAAAAATTTAGGTTCACAAGTTTAGGATGAGAGAGGCATGGCTGCATAATAATGTGTCCAAAAAATGATTTGAGAGTTTTAGGGGGCTACACTAAATCAGCTGCATAATGTGAAAGCTAAAAGTATTACGATGTATGTATCTAGATATATCAGAACATACGTATGCATGTAAATACATACGTATAGGTCTATATATACACTAGCATATATGCATGCATATGTGTATGTATGTATATATGCATGTATATGGGACTGGACCTGCGATTTTATTGATATGAGGAGCTCCCATAGAGGAACTTCAGTGCAGATTGGTATGCAGTTTTGCTCTTGGAGAGTTTCCTGGGACAATGAAGAGCTAGGAGACTTTGCAGGATTGCACAAACAAAATAAATGTGCCAGAGAGGGACTTGAACCTAGTTCTTCTTGGTTCTGAGCCCTCTTTAAGAGAAGCATAATGTCCAGGTTAGGAAAGTGATGGTCCCTCCAAACTCTGCCCTTGTCAGATTTCATCTGCGGTCATTTTGTTCAGTTCAAACTGCCGCATTCCAGATGGAACACTGATGTGTGATGGAAGCTGTCCAGTGGAATTCAACCAGGAAGGTTCAGGGCCTTGAGATCCTGCTGCATAAAGATCATTTGAAGGAACTTGGGATGTTAACTCAGAGAAGGGAAGATTTAACATCAGCCTTCAAGTTTTTGAAGGGTTATCATGTGGAGGAATGATTAGATTTATGCCACTTGGTCCCAGAAAACAGAATTAGGAGAAATGAATAAAGTTGCAAAGAAGTAAGTTGAGATTTTTAACAATTAGAGCTATCCGAAAGAGAATGGGTTACCTTGGGGAGTACTAAGTTCTCCCTCAATGGAAGTCTTCATTAAAAAGGTGGGTAATGCCCTGTTAGATACATTGTAGCTGGTATTCTTCTTATCTTGATAACTAAAGGGAGGCAATGCCAGAAGTCTCCTGAACATCTGCTACAATTCCAAAAAGTGGGAGCTTCAGTTTCAGTAATCCGCTTAATGCTTGGTGGCAGCTCCCACTTAACTTGTTCTGTGCCCTCCTCTCAGTTCCTGCACCCCTGTATTGTCAACAGCATTGCTCCCCAGTGCACAGCCGTCTGACCTTAACATCAAAGACACTTGCGAACGCACAGATCAGAGAGAAGCTGAGGAAGACTGATTTAAGGGCAGAGAGGAAGCATGGTCTGATGCAAAGAACTAGGGCAGGACTAGAAGCCAGAAGACCTCAATTCTAGCGCTAACTCCATCACTAGCTTGCTAGCGGGTATTTAATAGTGTTGGTCCTTTGTTTCTATGTTGATAAAATGAGGGGGTTTGGTCCAAGTACAAGGTCACTTCCAGATCAAATCTTCTAGGATTATTACTATATCATTGAAATTTTCTGTGTTTTTTCTTTCTAGGGCACTATCATATTTACATCATTGACCTCTGTTTTGTATGATGAGAAAGTGTTCCCCAATGCACAGCAGTTTGATCCAGGTCACTTCCTGGATGAAAGTGGCAACTTTAAGAAGAGCAACTATTTCATGCCTTTTTCAATAGGTAAGATAAGTCTCCCTAAATCTGTACACCAAAGATGATTAGAGATCTTTGAGGACTGAGGTTCTAATCCCAGATCTGTGACTTCACAGAATCACAGAATTTCAGAGTTGGAAGGGTCTGAAAAAGAATCCCTTCTTCAGCATATTATAAAAGTGGTCAACCAGATTTCACTTAAGGACATTCAGTGATAGGAAGCCGACCACTTTATGAGACAGCCCGTTCCACTTTGAGAAAGCTAAAACTGATAGAGAGGTGATATAACATTCACCCCAAATCTACCTTTTGGCAACTTCTCAACTTAAATTCTGTGAATTGCTTTTAATTCTGTAGTTTGAGAACAGGTAGGACTAGTTTAATTCCTCTTCCATGTGATGGCCATTTTAACACCTGAAGACAACTGTCGTGTGTCTTCGCTTGGCTCTGCCACCTCCCAATTCTCTCTTTTCCAGGATAAACACTCTCAGTTCCTTTAACACATTTTTAAGATTTTAAAATTTGGGGACATTGTTTTATATATTTTAAACACTTTTATATATTTTGTTTTTAATTTATGGGATAAAACAAGCATTTCCATAACATAGTATAGTTTTAAAAAAAAAAAAGATTGCACATGAAATTGCAAATCTATTATGTATAAATTGCAATTCCTTTTAAAGTTATCATGTAAATTTCTTTTTTTCCTTTCTTCCCTTTTTTTCCTACCCCCTCCCAGAGATGGCTACCATTGGACACAAATATGTATATATATATATGTAAAATCATTCTATGTATATTTCTGTTCATCAGTTCTTTCTCTGAATGCATATAGTGTCTTCTCTGAATCATATTAAAAGGGTGGAGAGAATTTTTTATCTTTCCAATACTGCTTAAGCAATGAGACTTGATATAATGCCTAGATGACTGGAATTTTGAATAATTCCCTTTTTTGCATGTTTATTTCCCCCATCCCCCCAAGAAAAGTGGTATGAAAACAGTCGATAACTGTAGTCTGCCTCCAGACTCACCACTAATACCCCTGGACTAGCAAAAGCTGTTCTCTGAGGTATCCTCAGCCAAGACCTAGACAGCCCAAATCCTTGCACCTAAGAGCTTTAGGAATAGTAGTGGCCCCTAAAACACCAAGCTGGTTTCCACACAAGCCCCTGTAACCATCACTGAGGGGAGAAATCATCATTGAGAAGAGGCTTATCACCAGTAACAACCGCTTACCAAGTGCCACCAACAGACAGATGAGCACAAGAACCCTGGGAATCTCAGTGACTCCAATACCTAGACCACCGAACCTTCTAGCCAAGTCCTCACAGCCATCATCTAGAGACGCAGCTCCTATGGAGAAGGGGCCAGCCCTCCCTACCAATGACCAGCCAACTGCCACATAAAGGGCAGACAAGACACCCTCACTGAAGCAACATGGTACCCTGAGAGAAAGACAGGAGGCAGCATATGCCAGGCAAATGAAACCATTACCACCACCTTGACCACCAACTCTCCTCAGACCCCTGATGAGGAGAGCCCAGGACTCTAAACTCAAGAGCCTTTAGAATAGTAATATTTCCTGCCCAATGCCCCTATCCATCATCATGGGGAGCATCCCCTGTGTAGATGCAGCCTGGTAAGTCCTCCTGCAGGAGCTACAGTCACAGCTCCTGAAGCCCTAGAAAAGAAAGTTCTTATCCCCAAAGTCCTTTTCACTATCAAAGGATTCAGTATCAAAAATGGATATGATTTCATCCATGAAAGTGACATTAAAGAAGAAATGTGCTTTGCCACTGCCCCCTAAGAACTGCAGCACCTTTCCATCTGACTTGCAGCTGAGACTTTCCCTATGTGTTGTCTCCCCCCATTAGAATATGAACTCCTTGAGAGCAATGACTATCTTGCTTTTCTATTTGTATCCCAGGGACTTAGCACAGGGCTTTGCACATGATAAGTACTCATTCATTTGTTCCTTGGGTACAATTTTCTAACTATTTGTGGCAGCAAGAATCAACTTTATATATCATTACTTACATAGATGGCCCCTTCAAAAGATCAAAGAAATTTAGTTCTGCCCCACAAGTCAAGTAAATGAAGTCATTAAAATAAAGAAATGGGTGATATTATCTCAATGACCTGTTACTCCAATGCCAGTATGGATCAATCATCTGAAGCCCTACTTTAGAGTTTTACAGTATCAGAAATTTGATCCCTGACTAGGACAAGTATGTCCAACAGTTAATCCCAAGATTCCTCACTGTCTAAGGCCATACTTACACAAAGGCCATACTTACACTCTTTAAACTTTCACCACTAATCTGGGGAAACTTATGTAAATGAATAATAACACTGATAAATCAAGTTAACAATATCAGTGTTGGAGGTTGTCAGGCAGCTGCAGTGTGTCTGCCCAGTGCTCTCCATGGCAGTGCCTTGCCCATCTGGGGTGAGGCTGACAAGGGGGGTAAGGATGAATGGTTAGTGGCAGGTGGCTGGATTGGCACTAAGCAGGAAGTAGGGAGCATGTCCTGGAACTATGTTGCCTGTCCAGAATAGTAACTGAGTAAATGACTGACTTAATGACCAAGCATATATCATACACCGATTATGTGCCAAGCACTGTGTTATGCACTGAGGATATACGTGTGAGAGCAAAAATAGTTCAGATAGTTCCTGACCTCAAGAATCTTGCATTCTAGTGGGGCAAACAACACACAGTAGGGTGGTGGTCAGAATGTTGGTCCAGCAATCTACAGGAAAGGTAAATGGGGTCATGGGGTAATAATATACTAGAGCACACACTAAAGATGAATTTTCCCCCAACCTGGAGTTTAACCATAGACTCCTTGGAGTAGACCTCGATATGAGAACCTCTGCTTTACAAAGACTTTATTTCCTGCCTGATGTTTTTCAATCACAACAGTTGTACTTCAACATTTCAAAGCATCTTTGATTTCATATGTGGAAGTATTCCCTTTACCGACATAGAGTCCAGCTCTTATACGTCGTAGTAGACAGTTTCATGAGTTGCTGTGGCCAAAACAATTCATATCTAGTAGTCTACATTTTAGTGAAGAACTTTTTTGAACTTGGATAGGCTGATCTTCAGACTAAATCTACAGTCTTTTTCCTGGCTTATAAACTAAGGGCCATAACTACATGGTGTGGCTGCATCTTTGCTCAGTAGCTGGCATCCTGGGGAGGATGATTTTTCCTCTATGGATGTCAAACTCTTCCTTTCTTTTTCACACACCCTCCAGCCCCTATCTAGTGCTAATTGCTTGGGCTGCCATCCTACCAGGGTACTGCAGTCACTAAACCCCTTTATTGGAAAGGAGGGTGCATGCCTCCCAACTATGCTAACTAGACTGCCCACCAACATGCTACCTGGTCTGAGAACCCATGCTATTCAGGATGTCTAGATACACTGGCAGCCAACCATGACAAACTTGCCCTTTGCCCTCCCTATTCCCTATCCCCCTCTGTCCTCTCTTTCCACTATACTCTGTGGCACCTTCCTTTATTATTTCAGAGGAAAGTCAGCAGCCGTGAGCTTGAATTCCAGCTATGCTAGCCATGTGAGCTTAGGAAGTCATCTCATCTTTCTGGGCCTCAGTTTTCTCATTGAAGGATGTTAGACTAGATGACCACTAAAGTCACTGACAACTTGATATTGGTTATCTTAATCCTCTATCTCTTCTTCTCAAATTCCTTCCATCTTCTGTGTCTCACTGCAGCTTTCTCCTGAAGATAATACAACTCTTGGCACACTTTCCATGACTAGCTGTTTTCTTCTTCTTCTTCTTCTTCTTCTTCTTCTTCTTCTTCTTCTTCTTCTTCTTCTTCTTCTTCTGTCTTCTCTCTCTCTCTCTCCCCCTCCTTGCCTCCACAGTAGTTGAAGTTCCTCCAGGGTATTGACTCTGGTATAGTCAGTCAGCAAGACAGTTGATAAGGAAACTGTAGAGGAAGTGGCTAGAAAACAGACTTCCCAAATGGGAACTGAAAATCATTTGTTTGTTATTCCCCTCCACCATTGGCACTAATGGTAGCCATGACTTGGTCTTTGTGAGTTTGAGTGTGGATGAATTTGCAGTCTTTCTGGGCTTTGATAACCTTCCACAAAATTAAAATCCCAGCACTTGTTTTGCCCCTGGAGGACTGATTTAGAAAGAGGCAACTGAGAGGGACTCACATACTTACATATCTGGGCTTGGCCCTTCAAAAGAACCAAGAAATTCTTAGTTCTACCCTGTGGGTTAAGTGGAAAATGTAATCCCCAGACATTAGGGCCCATGGACTAAGGGAGAAAGATTACATGAGGTGCCCTAGAGCAGAGAGGACAGGCACGGTTATAGTTCTTGACCTAGTAGTAATGGGTGATGTTGAGGTAGCATAAACTAGTAGTAGTGGCCTGAATCAAGTAGGAATCTATGAATTTCATGTATTTGCATTTGCCTCTTTCAGGAAAACGGGTATGTGTTGGCGAGGGCCTGGCTCCGATGGAATTATTTCTGGTTTTTACCACCATCTTACAGAATTTCACCTTGAAGCCTCTCATTGACCCAAAAGATATTAATATCACCCCAATTGCCACTGGATTTGTCTGTGTACTTCCTCCTTATGAACTGTGTTTTCTACCTTCTCTGTGAAGTAGGTAAAAGACCATGTTTGGCTTCAGCTACTCTAGTCTTGTTTTATTATCCTGTAAACAATGGTAATTTTCTCTTGCCTGGCATTCAAGGCCCTCCATGTTTTGGTCTTATTCTCTTAATCTTTTTTTACCTAATTTCTGACTATTCCTTTTGTCTTTGGTCATACTAGATTACTTGCTATGACAGTCTTTCATGGGAGGGAAAGTCTAAAGGGAAAAAGCATCCATGAATACAACATCATCTCTCTTATTATAGTGGTGATTGTTCAATCTCCATGGGGTCCTAATCTGGAGGTGTATGACATTATTTTCACTTCTTATTTGGTCTACTTCTGGTACATAGAATAATCTCTAGTGCAATGAACTGGGTGAACTCCTTCCAATTTTTTTCTCTAGACAACCAGGTGCACTCATAAATTCCTAGATTACTCTGGAACGTGAGAGGACCACAATGAGAGGAGACATACACACATATATTATATGCATAATATGTTATGTACATATTGTCAGGAGATTTATGATTCTCATATTAATTGATATGATATCTGTAATGATTATACTAACTACCTAGATTTATCAAAACTCCCCTATTTCCCCTATTTCCCTATTTATGATTCTCATATTAATTGATATGATATCTGTAATGATTATACTAACTACCTAGATTTGTCAAAACTCCCCTATTTCCCAGGAGATTTGGGCTTTGAAGCCAGAGCTACAGCTGACACCTTGCAACAGAAAGTTGTTGTTGCTTGTCCTTCATTCTGGAAGAGGACTGTGGCATCAGGAAGGTGATGCCATGACTTGCAAGTGAATTGGATTTAAATGAGAGAGGACTGTACAAAGTCACCAGCCTCATTTTCTCCTCTGGAGCCATGTGGGTCCAGTGGCAAGATATAAATCAGGATGACTGGAGATGACCTCCATAGTAGAAAGTAATAAATCAAGAATCTTCTGACATGCTAATAATTCACAAATTCCTGAGCTTATAACTGCCAAGTGAACTGAATCAGAGACTGCTGCATTCCTATACCCACCACACTAGCTCTGGTTCTCTACCCCGCTGAATAATCACAAGGTTCAACGACCCTTAAAACTTGAGACAATCAACTTAAGGACTGTTCCCATGGGACTCAAGAACACCTGTATTGTCCTAAAATTTCCTGCACATGTGGCCCTGCTGTGGGAACTGTTTGCTTAAGACCTAGGAATGATTGTGTTGTGATCTACCCCTCCTTGTGGTTTTTTATGTATATAAGCTCTACACCTGCCCCAGCTTGAGAAGCCCCTCTTTTCAGAGGACCTTCAGTTTGCAAATCTGCCTTCCTAGCTCTGAAATTAATTAAACTCCTACTTGATTCCTGACACATCTGTCTCTAGCTTGCTTTGTTCGGCTACAGCCATTTATAGGTTAGAGATTAGTCCAGTCTGGACTACATTTAAAATTATTTTTATATACACACACATATATTTGCAGGCATGTATGTATATATATATACACACACACACATACATATATACATACATGTATGTGTATTTGTGAGTGTGTATATACATATATATATATATATATATATGGGGGGAGAGAGAGAGGCATATATAAGCCTACTGAAGAACAAGATATGCATGAGCAAAAGAGGTTATAGAAACTAACACTTGTTAAAAGACAAGAGAAAGGAGAAAAGGCAAATTGTGTGTGCATCTATATCTGTATCCATATATGCTAGATGGCCCTATAGATAGAGTGCTAGGTCTGGAGTAAAGAAGACCTGAGTTGAAATCTAGCTTCAGAATCTTACTAGCTGTGTGACCCTGGGCAAGTCACTTAACCTCTGTTTGCTTCATTTTCCCCAACTGTAAAGTGGAAATAATAATGCACTTACCTTGAAGAGTTGACATATAGTAGGTGCTACATAAATTTTATTCCCTTCCCTTCCTCCCTCCCATTCCATTCACTTTCTGACTATTCAGGGATACCAGTATGGCAATCTCTGGCTTAAGTTCATGACTTAACCTATCTCAATCAGTTTCTAAACTTTAAGATTTGTTACCTTAGTATGACAAACTGTCATATTCAGCTGGGCAGGTTGTAATGAAAATCTGTACTTAGGGAGGTGGTAGAGAAGAGGGTACAGATGCAAGAGACCATAGACAGGGTTTTTTTTCCTTTGGACAATGTCATTTGAGGATTGATTGAAAGAACTGCCAATATTCAAGCTGAAGGGGAAAAGAATAAGACTGAATATGGAGGTCTCCAACTATTTGAAAGGTTGTCATTTGGAAGAGGGACTAAAGCTTATTCTGCTTAGCCCCAGAGGGCAGAACCAGTAGCAATGGAAAGCAACTGGAGAGGTACAGAGTTTGACGTAGGGAAAAACTTGTTAACAAATAGAGCTATCCATTGGAATAAGTTTTCTGAGATAGTTTATTGTTCCTCACTTAAGGTTTTCAAGTGACGGCTGTTGTAGAGGATTTTTAAATTTTGTTTTCTCTGAGAAGGGGAATAATCTTTTGACATGAAAGAATAGAACAAAAGTGAGTAATAGGAAATTTATACCCAAGGTAAGTAGAGAGACAGTGAGAGAGTATCTGGCTGTCTTTTATTCAATTTAATTCCACAAACATTAAGCACCTACCATGTACCAATAGTCTGCTAGTCTCTGGGAATACAAAACCAAAACCAAAAAGTATTTCTCTCAAGGAGCTTATATTCCACAGAGTGAAACAAAATGAAGAAAGGTATGAACATACAAAACAATGTCTTAAATTATAAGGGACTTCAAGTTGGGGAACATTAATCAACTGGAGGAATCAACAAAGTCTTCTTAAGTTGACAAAGTAAAGGCAGGAACTTGCCTGATCTCTTCCCATTTTCCTTTCAAACATCATTAAAATAATGCTTCAAAAACAGTGCATTTTGGAGCTGCAGAATCCACAGAAGGACAGGGTGGAACAATTTTCCAGATTAAGACAATTTAGGAGGTTGGCAATAAAGATCTATCTCACTGGAGTGAGAGTGGAGTGCAGTTTAGTCCAGTTTATGCCCTGATATGCCAGCAGTAAGCCTTAGAAGTGGTAGCTTCCAGAGTTCTCAGCCCACAGGCAGTAATAGGGTTGGAAAACTAATCAAGATTTTATAGGAGGCCCCTTTCTGGCACTGAGAGCAGCCATCTGTCATATTGCCCATACATGCTTCTGGGTCACAGTCCCAAGACAAGGAGGATCATCAGCAGTTAGATATGATAGACTTTTGGAGAAAATTGAATGGGCATAAAAAGTATAACTTTTCTCAATGGTTCATGGCATTTACACAAAATTTGACTGTGTTTTAGGACATAAAAACTCACAACCAACTTCAGAAAAGCAGAAATATTAAATGCATCTTTTTCAGATCATAATGCAATAAAAATTACATGCAATAAAAAACTATAGAAACAGACTAAAAATTAATTGGAAACTAAATAATCTAATCTTAAAGAATGAGTGGGTCAATTAACCAACCAAGGAAACAATAAATTTCATTAAAGAGAATGAAAACAATGAGAGAACATGTCAGAATTTATGGGATATAGCCAAAGCAGTACTTGGGAAAATTTTACGTCTCTGAACACTTTTATCAAAAAATAAAGACCAGATCAATGAATTTGTCATGCAACTAAAAAAAAAACTAGAAAAAAAATTAAAAATCCCCAATTAAACCCCAAATTTAGAAATTCTGAAAGTCAAAGGAGAAATTAATAAAATTGAAAGTGAGAAAACCATTGAACAAATAAATAAAAGTAGGAGCTGGTTTTGTGAAGAAAAAATAAAACAGATAAACCATTGGTTAATTTGACTTTAAAAAAAGAAGAAAACCAAATTACCAATATTAAAAATGAAAAGAATGAATTCACCTCCAATGAAGATGAAGTTTAAGCAATTATTAAGAATTATTTTGCCTAATTAAAGGACAATGTCTAACAATCTAAATGAAATGGAGGAATATTTACAAAAATATAATTTGCCTAGATTAACAGTAGAGGAATAATTGAATAACCATATCATAGAAAAATAAATTTTAAAAGCCATAAACTAGTTCTCTAAGAAAAAATTCCCAGGACCAGATGGATTCACAAGTGAATTCCGCCAAGCATTTAAAGAACAATTGATTCCAATATTATATATTTTTCAGTTGTGTCAAACTCTTTGTGACCCCATTTTGGGGTTTTCTTGGCAAATATAGTGGAGTAGTTTATCATTTCCTTCTCCAGCTTACATTACAGGTGAGAAACTGAGGTAAACAGGATTAAATGACTTGTCCAGGGTCACACAGCTAGTAAATGTCTGAGGCCAGATTTGAACTCATAAAGATGAGTCTTCTTGATTCCAAGCCTGGTGCTCTATCCACTATGCCATCTAGGTGTCCTAATACTATACAACCTATTCGGAAAAATAAAGATAGAAGGAGTCCTACCAAATTCCTTTTATGATATGAATATGGTGTTTATACCTAAACCAGGAAGAGCAAAAAACAGAGAAAAGCTCCCTGAAGAATATTGATGCAGAAATTGTAAACAAAATACTAATGAGATTAAAACAATATATCAAAAAGATTATGCACTGTAGCCTGGTGGGATTTACACCAGGAATGCAAAGTTAGTTCAATATTAGGAAGACTATTAGCATAATTGTCTATATCAATTGCAAAAACAACATAAATCATGATTATCTTGATAGGTGCAGAAAAAGCTTTTGACATTCTTCTTAAAAACACCAGAGAGCATCGGAATAAGTGGAGTTTTCCTTAAAATCAAAAGTAATATCTATCTAAAATCTGGGGTGAAGCAAGGATGCCCATTATCATCATTATTATTCAATTTTGTGCTAGAAATGCTAGCTATAACAAGAGAAGAAAAAATAAATTGAAGCAATTACTATAGGGAATGAGGAAACAAAACTATCGCTCTTTGCAGATGGTATTATGGTATACTTAAAGTCCAGCAGGAAAAGATAGAGAAATTCCATTTAAAATTACTGCTGACATGGGGCAGCTAGGTGGTGCAATGGATAGAGCACTGGCCCTGGAGTCAGGAGGACCTGAGTTCAAATCTGGCCTCAGACATGTAACAGTTACTAGCTGTGTGACCCTGGGCAAGTCACTTAACCCCAATTGCCTCATCAAAAAAAAATTACTGCTGACAGTATAAAATGCTTGGGAGTGTACCTGCCAAGACAAATCCAGGAACTATGTGAACACATTTGCAACACTTTTTTTACACAAATAAAGTCATATCTAGACAACTGGAAAATATTGAATCCTTATGTGTATATTAAACAAATTTTCACATTAGTCATATTTTAAAGAAGAGTTAGAACCAATGGGAGGAACCACGAGAAAGAAGAAACAAAACAAAACAATAACAAAAAAGAGAGCAAATAGTATGCTTTGATCTGCATTCAAACTCCATAGATCTTTCTCTGAATGTGGACAGCATTTTCCATCATGAATCTTTTGGAGTTGTCTTAGATCCTTGTATTGCTGAGAAGAGTCAAGTCTATGAAAGTTCTTTATTGCACAATGTGGCTGTTACTATATTCAATATTCTCCTGGTTCTGCTCAATTCATTCAGCATCAGTCCATACAAATCTTTCCAGGTTTTTCTGAAGTCTGCCTGCTCATCATTCCTTATAGCACAATAGTATTCCATTATATTCATATACCACATCTTGTTTGGTCATTCCCCAATTGATGGGCATCCCTTCAATTTCCAATTCTTGGCCAACAGCTGCTATAAATATTTTTGTACATCTGGGTCCTTTTC